AGTTTCTAACCTTTGTATAATAATAACAGTCCACCGTATATTATTCATACTATTAAAATATAATCTTACAAACATTGAATTGCAATAGATTTGTTCACTTTTCAAAACAAGTGAAAACTTTCATTTATCTTTCTTATTAGTGTAGGGACTTGTGAAGACCGTAGTATTTTAACAGTTGAATTAACAAGTCACTTCAAGCTAGACAACCAGTGAAAACCTGAAAGCACCGGAATGCTGTTTCGTCCTAGTATGGAACTCCTTAATGATGTGCATCTATGGTCCTGCATGCGTGACCAGTCAGTGTCGGGTAAGAGACAGTTATCCACCACAGACACTGGATGAAGGGATGGGCATGATCATGGATCGATTGAAGTTGGACATTAGAACTATTGGATGCCGGCTAAGTGATCTAAAGGCTAAACATTCGTGTACGAGACCGACGGTCCCGAGTTCGAGTCCCCTAGGTGCAGGGTCGTGAACTCACCCTGCTGAGGGATCCCATACAAGGACGAAAAAGTCGTCCAGTGCTTCCGGGTTTTCGATGGTGATCTAGTTTAGATCGACCCGTGAGTTCTGTTTCTGCTTTATTCATTGTCATATTACTGAGGTGATATACTGATCTACTTCAATTCAGCAACAAATTTAATTTAGGTTTGCAATTGACGGACACAACTTTGATCACTTTTCATATTACGTTGTCAGTAAAAGAAATAATTTTAGAGTAGAAACTAATATCATATCTGTCTAGTCCTTATAATAAAATGATAAAGGTTTAATGTGAACACTGGTGTGAGTAACTTCACCAAGCATGTACATTATTTTGATGTTATGTAGATGACGATATACGAAAGGATACTCTAGACCTTCATATATAAGAATATGAAGCTAAGTGACTTGGATTCAAGTCCTACACGAAGCATTGATTCCCTCATTACTGTAGATAGTATTCGATAATAAGTGCTAACTAACGTGGGACTAAAACGCACAGTTTCCTTCAGACTAACTAGCAGAAGAAGTATAATAATTCAAATCCATTTACTTTATTGTTTCATGAATTAAAAAACTAAATACAGTACTTCAGCTCTCTCAAAAAACGATGCGGGTCAAAGGGATGATCTATTGAGTTGCTGAAATTCCGTGAAAGGGGTTAGCATAAATTTTGACAATAAATCCTTTTTTAAAAACTAAAATCTTATTTTAAAACTTCTCTGTATTTTTAATAATTAAGATCATAAGTCAATTAAGGCTAGACCACCATGGAAAAGCTGGAAGCACTGGACGATTCGTCAGACTGTGAAACCCCTTAGCAGTATGCATCCACGACCCGCCTCGCAAGATTCGAACCCAGGATCTATCCGTTTTGCGCGCGACCACTTGACCTCTAGACCACTAAGCCGGTCAACATCCAAGGGTGTTAATGTCTAACTCCAACTGTATTTATCATTTTGATTGAGATTTTTGATGTAAATAAACTTAAGACAAAAATGGAAACAAGTGTTTACGGTTATTGAGTTGAAATACCTTCGACAGATAGTATGTGATCTTCGTTGTACTATTTAGCAGCTAACTTCTATCCGTCCTTTGATTATGAAGTAAAATCACTGATTGACTGAACAATATACTGGACTTCCCTACTTGGATAATTCGTTCACTTCTTTGATACTGTTATTACTTTAAGTGTTTTCCTTCACTAGTTTTTTTTCATCCGCAGATGTCATTATAAAATGTTGTGATGGTCCAAAACTTGTCCAATAAATCTTTTTTTAAAATTTTCTGTTGTCCTGGAAGATTATAATGGAAATGATTTCTTTTGATCAGGTTACAGAGTCGATCAAAAAGATATTATTAACAGTCCATGTTAACTAATAAGAAGGTTTAATGTCAGCTGAAAGGATTAAATTTTAACGAACATTTTTAGTTAACGCCTTTTCAACCACACCTAGGTGTGGTTAAAATGAAACCGAAACAAGGATATCAATTTACAAAATTTAGTTTAAGATATTTAAGTATTTACATTTATGCTGGGATCGTAATGAAATTAAAAGTTAATGACCAAAAAACTTTAGTTAAAATCAATAGGCATAGATACTTTATATGAGCATATTCTTTAGTTTTATACTGAATTTCAATAAAGATGAATGGTGACTAGCAGTGGAATCCAGTTTGTTACATGTTCCGTCCTATTTGAGACTCGTCAGCTGAATGTACCTGCATTTCAGAGTTGATGTTCACCCTGTGACTTGAACCCAGTACCGATCACTTCAAACGCCATCGCGTTATCCATTAAACTACTGTGTCCTGATGGCCGCTTGCTTGTGCAATCAGGTGCAGTTTATATTCATTTGGTATTATTTGTTTGAATCTTCTCATTTTTATTTAGGACTGTATTTGATCAGTCAGTCACTTATTGGCATCTGTGCATCCCGCCTCGATATTGCTTTAGTTCACAATCATTATAAGCAAATATAAATAGTGACTAGCAAAGGAATCTAGGACTCGCGTTTCATCGTATTTGGGACTCATCAACCAAATGTCGAAAGACTCAAACTAACAATAACAAATAAGTCTGGATTTCATTAGTCTGGTAACACTACACTTCTTTTCTCATGTATCCACGTAACTCTACTGGTTAATTTTTAGTGTTTTGTTTTAATAGTTGTATTAGTTTTTGTAAAATTTTTTGCAGTGATCAGCTGCATCTTTCGTTATGATTCATAAAAACTTAGGGAAATATTTGGAATTATCACCTAATGTAATTGGAAGACTTTCATTGATCTGTCGAATAATATTACTAGTGATTTTTTAAAAAAATATTCCACGAATACTGAACTACTCTATCCTGACAACCTTGTTCAAAAGTTCAAAGTTTAATTATCTTGTAGTGGTGGTCACCAGAAGGTTGCGTGTTCGAATCACGTCGGGCTCAACAGTTGTTGTGCGGCGTCGAGTCGCAGTTGACTATGGCCACCACTGCAAGAAGTCTACGTGCCAGTGAACCGATAAGATCCCCGTAGGCCAAATATCAGAAGGCAGTTGATGGCTGTAGTCGAGATGTATTTGTTGGCGATCTTGTGATATCGGAAGAATACCGAGATCGTGCCAGGTTACAAGTGTGGTTACAGAGCGTAACAGAATTCGTGCAAGGTCTCAAGCAACGGAAGAATGTATGTGTTTTGGTACAGTTAGACAAACCAGTACGGTAAAACAATCACTGGCACAATCGGTTCTAAAAATAATTGTTTCCATTATACCAATCGCGTTCTCTTGATTAAAGTAGGTCACTACAAATAAATATATTATAATTAGAAATATCGTTACTCATGTTTACAATATAAGTAGTATATTTCGTAATGTGATAAATTCTTCCTTCAGAACATTTACTCATTTTGAGACTGGATCAATAGCTAATGAATGAAGTTACCATAAATAAACCATATTAGGGTTAGTGTAAAACTGTCACGTAATAACAAATAATAAATAGGTAACTTTAATTAGAAAACATATATCTTTACTTGTGTATACATTCTTAACTTGTTATATTCAGAATGGAACGTGTATTTCACTCTGGAACATGTCATTTACATATATGCATAATACAGTATTGGGAGTAACAAAGTATCTACTGATGATGAGCATATGACGAGGTTGACGCGTCAAATTCATTCCATATTACCATGAACAGAGAAAACAATGCAATTGAATACAATGATAATTTGTTGTTTGAACAGATTAATATTGGGTTCAAGTTGAAGTATGAACATTAACATTGTGAATAAGTTTTCATCTAGCTGACGAATCTCAAGTAAAACGAATCATGAGTAGTAAATTGATTCGTTAGCTTCAGCCTAAACAATATGAAAATATTTATTCTTCCTAATATTAGGGAAATATAACTCAGCAATTAGATGGTCGTTGCGGGTAGTCAATAAGAAACCCTGGACTAGGGTTTTGTGCCATTTGGCACTTGTCAGCAAGGTGTACCTGTTATCTTGAGAGAACTGGTGCTCCCCAACGGATTCGATCACAGCTTCATAGGTACAGGTACACCTTGCTGACGAGTGCCAAGTAGAACAAAACCCAGGTCTAGGGTTTCTTGTTAACTACCTCCAACCGTCATCTTATCTCAACATAGTGCACGCAATATCGAGTCACCTAGACTAGTGGCCACATTGCAACTTGGTCGATAGCATCCGATCTGCACTAAGAATGACTCGACACATATGACATTGATCACCACCCAGTGATCAATCAGTTGTGAACTCAGCAATTTAGTCATATTGTAGTGAACGACAACAGATGTGGAGACAATCGAGTGTACTTGAAAACAAAATCACAAATTGTCTTAGTAAAATATGTGAATCATATAGTAAATTCTTCATTTGTAAAATGTCAATCAATCGTCCGAGACTTTATTATTCCTTCGTTTCCACACAAATCATTCTTTGTTCTCGTTCTCTTCTGTTTGATCTTCTTAACTTTCTACCGCATTTCACTTTTGATTAATGATACATACTACTTATATCTGTTAACATCAGTAGCATACACAACAATATTTGCTGCTGAAAGCAATTAATCTATTGATTTTGTAAATTATATACACATACTGAATTAACAGTATAGAGTTGTGGAGATTATTAAGTTTTTGATTGAGATCATGGACCGATTGATATTAGACTATCATTGAAAATCTCGAAGTACTGGACGATCGTTTCGTCCCATTGTACAACTCCTCAGCAGTGTGCATCCACAATCCCGCTCGCGGGATTCGAACCCAAGGCATTTAGTCTCGCATAGGAATGCTTAACCTCTAGACCACTGAATCGGCTGAGGAGTCCTACAATAGGACGAAAATGCTATCCAATGCTTCCAGGTTTTCAATAGTGATCTAACATCAATCGGTTTATAATCTTAATGAAAAAACATACTGAATTACTGGTTCATTAATATTAACTACAATTCATTCAATATATACTTAACAAATGCATTAACTTTTATTTCAGAATAAGTTTATCTATCTATCTATTTACATCAACACTGAAGAGAAAATGGTCTCCAACTATGGTCGATATTCCAATTGTACATCTCCAACCTTAAATAAAACAGACTATACATCACATTCTAATCGACTAAATTTAGATGTAAATAATAAACCTGTTACTCCTTGGATACGTGGAGAAGTTATCCATGAGGGAAGTGAGTGTCATTTTTTTTTGTGTTTTTTTTGGTTATTAAAATGTATTGTTTCCATGTCTTTTATTACAATAAACAATATTAGACAAGATTTAGCTTTGTATTAATTTCTTTACATTTTTTTTTAGAAAACCATCTTATTTTGGATGAGAAGTATTTAAGAATCAAATGACTGTATCAACCCTCCCCCCCTACACACACACATATAGGTCTCGGATTCTGGCACAAAATTCATTCATCCATTTGGCTGAATAGATTCATGGCATTATAACTGATTTCAGTTCGTGATGAAAAACCCCCTTAATCTAATTCTAAACTTTAACCTGTAGTGACCTAATTTTGTCAAGAGAACGCGATTGGTATAATGGAAACAATTATTATTATTATTATTATTATTATTATTATTATTATTATTATTATTATTATTATTATTATTATTATTATTATTATCATAACCAATTATAACAGTGATTGTTTTACTGTACGTGTTTGTTTAACTGTACTAAAAACATACCTCCTTTCGTTGATTGTGACCATGCACGCTCTCGGTTACGCTCAGTAGTTCCATTTGTAAACTTTGGCACGATCTCGGTATTTTTTCGGTACTTTGTCGAGCTCACCAGTTGTAGCGTGGCGTCGAGTCGCAGTTGACTATGATGACCATTACACTGAAACTATGTGCCAGTTATTAAGCTGGATTCCTTCGTAGGTCAAAAACTAGAAGGTAGTTGACGGTGGTATCAAAAAAATACTGAGATCGTGCCAAAGTTTACTAATGGAACTACTTAAAGTACACGAGTGTGTGAAAGGTCATAGTCAACGGAAGAAGGTATGTTTTTAGTACAGTTAAATAAACAAGTACAGTAAAACAATCGCTGGTACAATTGTTTTTAATAATAATAATAATAATTGTTTCCATTATACCAATCGCGTTCTCTTGATAAAAGTAGGTCACTACAAACTATCAACTGTAAATCATAATTCTTATTCCTCACCCTGGTTTATAACCGTCATTTCGTCCTAGTTATCAGGTGGATACTCTCAAGGGCAGTTCAACATCACTCAAAGGTCGTCCATAAATGATAGTCTCATCATAATCAGTACTTAATCTTAAAAGTTATCTATCTTGTAGCTATTGTCAAGAGATATATTTGTAGTTATTATATGTTAACTCTATAGACTAGACTTTACTAGATTAAGGCAATCTAAAAGATTATGATCCATAGTTAACAATAATCATTGTTTTAGGAAATCTATCAATTCTAATTCATTTATTTTGGTAGTAAGCGTTCGTACATAAGACTGGAGGCCCTGAGTTCGAATCTTGCGAGGCAGAATTGTGAATGTACACTGATGATTATTAGTCCCACAAGAAGACTAAATGGCCGTCCAATGCTTCCAGGTTATCAATGGTGGTCTAACATTGTTCAGTTAATGAACTCAACCAAAATCTTTTTTTTCCTGAATGATATTGATTTTTCTGGAAAACACTTTTTCTAGTCACATTATATATACACACTGATAGCATCATTTCAATGAACGATGGTGTATCATTTTAGACTGAATAGAAATTTCTATAGAAGAATTTTCAAGGAAAGAACATAAAAAGTTGTCTGACCTTTATTCATAAACATATCTGTCCATTGAAAGAAGTAAACTATGATAGGTTCAATGTTAACAATAACCAATCAACATCGAGATCTACAGGACAAGCTGTGAACTGCATGTGGAAACATTCGAACACTTCACTACTATCTGAAGTTTTATGCTGATGATGTTATTCAGAATAATGATAAAAGCTTCATGACCAAATCATTCAATTCAGAGAATAAAACTTCTGTTATTTGTAATTAAGCTGTCTCAAGTCAATCTGAAGATATTTTAACACATGTTAAGATAGTGCCATACAGCGGTTCATGTATCTTAAGATGACAAAAATATTAAATACAACTTAGTCTTCTGATTAGACATTAACACCGTTGGATGCCGGCTCAGTGGTCTAGTTGATTAAACGCCTGGCGCGAGACTGATAGGTTCTGGGTTTGGATCCCGAGAGGCGGGGTCATGGATGCACACTGCTGAGGAGTTTCACAATAGGACGAAACAGTCGTCCAGTGCTTCCAGTTTTCCATGGTGGTTTAGCTTCAATTGACTCATGATATCGACAATGAGAATAGAAACTATTGATAAATACCTTCAACCTTTGTCAATTTCTGATATCATCTATGAATAAAACTTGTCTCATCCTCAACAACCGATACTACCTGTCCATTAGATCATCAAGAGAACTTTTATGACTGATATTAAATAACAGGAGGGATTTTGTGGATATTATATTAATTTTTTAATACTTTAAATTATGAGTCAATTATAACTAAAACACCAAGTAAAACATGGAAGCATTGGATGGCCGTTTCGTCTTAATATGAGGCCCCTCAGCAGTGGGCATCCAAGAACTTGCCACATCGCTAGATTGGAACCCAGTACCTATCAGTCTCGCACGCGAGCGCTTAATCAAATAGACTACTGATTTGGTCGGCATCCGACGGTGTTAATGTCTAACTTTAACTAATCCACGAAATTCAGTAACACATCCACTGTTGTCATCAGTGGGTTACTCTATCTCACAACACATCCGATTGAACTGCACTGATCACTACTTCTCACTAGAAATCCAAGAAATACCTATTTTGTAGTCAGTCACTAATGAGCATATGTTGATTCATATCAGAAGGAGTTTTTTGGATATGATAATAATTTTTGGTGAGACTCTTATTTATGGATGACCTCTGAACGAATCTTAAGTGACCTTGAGCAATATCAGCGAATCAGCACACAGTCAACATAGAGTAAAAATATATTATTATACAAAACCAAAGAAATAAAGTGGATACACTTCTTAGACGTAGTTCAAAAACTTGTCAAGGTTAGAAAGAGGTTCAGAGGCCCTAACATCGTAATGCATGCAGTAGAGGAAATCATCCATATGGCTACAGAATAGTCGGCCTTTGAAGCCATGATAAAGTCTCAAAAACTCTTTCAACTTCGACCACATAGCTTCAATATTGTTTGTGTGCACTCCGGTTGTTGAGTGCACAAAATGCTACTTGTGGATAACGACACGATGCACATAATCAGGCCTATGTAGAAGTCTGTACGCTCTCCAATCATCCGTACATATTGTAGTACCCGGCTGCAGCCAGTGTTAGTGGTGCTTTTATTATCCAGTTCGCAATAATCGTCGTAATTTGCCTTAGCTAGGAATTATATATGGGGTTTTCATCACGAACTGACATCAGCTATAATGCTAGAAATCTATTTAGCCAAATGGATGAAAGGCTTTCGCGTTAAAATCTGAGATTTATTATCTTATGCCTGATTGGCTCGTCCACAAATTATAGCCTCGCCATTTTATTTGTTATAGCTGCTCGATTATCACGTTTTGTACAAAATTCCCTGTGAACCGATCGTACGTTAGCATTAAGCACTGAAGTTGACGCCGTAACCTTGAAATCTCTAAAACGCCTCTGATTGGCTCGTCCATAAATTAGAGTCTCACGACTAATTTTTTTTTTAATAGTTGAGATCAGATATTCCCTTTTATTTCATTCACCTAATCATATTGAACTTCATAAATTGAAAGTGATTTATCCTACTTTATAAATCCCATATTATTAGTTACTTATTACCTTGACAATTAAATCTTATGATCAATATTAATTTCATTCAATGTTTGTTTTTTTTTTCAAAAAAAAATCTGTATATCATTTAGTGTTACCCATTGATAAGGGTTATGTACAAAAAAATATATTTGGTCGACGTTACTATGGAAACAATAATATGAAATTTTATCATTCTGGCAATACTGGAACTGGTGGTGGTGGTAGTGGCGGCGGTGTCGGTGTCGGTACTGGTGATGGAGGTGGTGGTGGTGGTAACGTTTACAATTATTATGGTCGTAAACGTGGTCGAACATACAATCGACATTATTATCATGAAGGTCAACGAGCTTATAATAATAATAATAATCATAATCATAAATCAAGATATCCATTTACTTGTTCACCAACTGTATATCCACTTTCACGTAGTCAATCTAGTTACAATATTGACTCCGATATAAATAATAATAATAATAATATTGATGATTATCATTATGATTATAAGAATCATGGAAGAGTTCATCGTTATTCCAATTGTAGTTATACAATGAATAATGAACAATTAACAGATGAATATATTGATGATTGTTTATCTACAGATATTGAACAATATCAATTAAAATTAGATATGAATGATCAATATATTCATCATAATTATAAACTTAAACATTTAACAATAACAAATAATGATGTGAATAATATTGATGATTGGACTAAAGTCAAAACATCATCACCATCATCTTCCACATCGTCAACATCATCATCATCATCATCACCATCAACAGATTCTGATTTTGTATCGAATGATATCAGTCAACCATCATCATCATCGTCGCCGTCAACATCATCATCACCGTCGTCAACATCATCATCATCACCGTCAAATAATCAAATAATTAATAGTCATTTACATAATGAATCTAAACAATTACAACATAAATGTAAAAGTTCTTTAAATTTATCAACTTCATGTATAATTGTATATGATACAAATAATAATGAAGATTATATTGATGTCAATCATTATATTCATGATAATGAAGAAAATCAAAGAGAATCCATAGAATATGACAATGATCAGAAAGATTGTAAGTAATATTTCAATGAAATATGTATTAATTAGTATTGAATACCTATTCATGACTTACATCTGTTACCCTTCGTAGAGGAGTATAGACTGCTAACTAGCATTCTCCATTCAACTCTGTCTTGGGTAATTGTTTCCAGTGGCTATTTATTTAAACATATAAACATTGATACAAGGAGGTACCAACTAGATATACACCACATAAATCATTCGACGTATGTCAAGACTGGGATACTGCTCAAACCGAAGTAGGTAATTTTCTTAGGGGAGCATACCAGGAACCTTCGACCTAAAAGTTTGATCCAATTCACAAGGCATTGGAGCAATGTTAAGAGATACAGTCTCATGATAGCTAGTGATAAACAGTTGGTTCATACGCCATTTGTTCCTTAAGGATCTTGAAGTCAACCTATGTGTACCATTGGTTGGGAATCAGGGTTTTCTAATTCCCCTAGGTGGACTCTCTGTGTCATCAACCCAGTTAAAGCGCCGAACATTCGATTTTTGTCCTCTCAATTTTGTGAACAGCAGCCCTACTTTGACTTCTATGGTAGTGGCTGTATATACGTGGTCATGTGAGAGCATTTCGAAGAGAGTTTGCTCTTTCCACTCTCAGCCGTACCATGGCATTGAGGGTTATATCTGTATTATTCATTTACATCATTTCTCTCTGTATCTGCTGAAATGTTTAACTGGCTTACGATTCATATTGGCGTATCGAATCCGATGATATATAGTGAAACCAAGATTGATGATAAGGATTTATTTGATCGCTGAAATAAATAAAAGTGATATATAAGTAAATTACTTTTAATATAGTTTATATGTAGTTAGATCAGTAGTCAGATTTGCATAACACGATATATGCACAAGACGTAAACATGGACTATAAACCGAAGCTTAGGGGTACTAGACGTCTATCCCCTAAACGGTTGTCAGTATATGTAAGAGGGTTTCGACAATGGTGGTCTATCTGAGTAGCCGGTATCGCGACAATAGTCTATGACTTCATTTACAAGGATGATGCCCAAGGAAAATGTCTTACACAACAAGTGAACCATATGCGATTCAGAGAGCTGATGTTGACTAGGGAACTCTCAATGTCCACTCTAACATTACACTACCGTTTTGATTCAGTCGATCAGAAGCAACCAAGCAAGAGCATCAGAAGCAGTAACCAGACCTTAAAAAATCATCGAAAAAAACTTTACCTTCCGCACAGCCTTCATTTGGATCCGACTAGTCGGATCTATTTTCAGGACGGTAAGTTTTTATGACAATAACCAAAGCATCCATTAAAATCCGAGTACTGTCAAATTGTATCTCCTCATTTCCACAGCTATTTGACTCGTTCTCCCGGTCTCTCACATTGTCCAGACGTTTCATGTACCTATAAAAATTGTTACTGTGGTTGTTAGAAGTAGCATAAGCCCCGTGGCTTCCGAAGAATTTCAGCTTTTATCCTGAGGCGTCATAATTCCTCCTTCAACTCCCAGGACAGATTTTAATTGGTTTAATCTGTTTAATCTGGTTGACGTGCTTTCTAGCAAGTTTTTTTTCTACGTGATTATTTTGCCAACCCCATTGCCAACCCTCCTTCTTTACCTGGGCTCGGGATCGGCAGTAACTCTAGGAGAGCTACAGGCGGAGTTATCCACTGAAGTAGATCTACCTGTAAACATCGCAATTAAATAAACCAAGTGTTTATCTGAAAACATTGATGATTTTGTTTATTTGTTATACTTTCAGGTAAATCTGGAAATATGAATGACTATCTTACTCTTGTTTGGGGTAAGTAAGCTATGTTTATGTTGATTATTGACTAGAGACTTGAGTTCATGCCAATCATCTTTATAGTTAGAGGTGGTAAAATTTCTCAGGTATCAGAATAGAGTAAATAGATTTATTATTCATTAGAAAGTAAAGAGTTTTATACTGCTTAGTTCTTTATGATGTTGACTTGTTTAGTTTAGTGTCCACGATGAATATATGTTTCATAGAATTCAATTATCACTGTTGATTGCATCGTCAGATATCAAGTACACCGGGTTACTCCGTCAATTAACACCATCTTATCTCATCATAGTTTTCACTTACATTACATCTCAGCCCTATAGGAGGTTGGTCGTGGCCTGGATAGCTCAGTGGTAATGTCTCTGACTGTGAAGCTGTGTGACACGGTACCGAGTTCGTCGTGTAGCACCAGTTCCCTCAAGATTACAGATACACCTTGCTGACGAGTGCCAAGTAGCACGAAACCTGCTGACTACCTCCAATCACCATCTTATCTTTATAATGTCTAGATAGCATTGGTCAGTGAAGTTATTAAAAGTTAGAGTTATGTAAAATGCTACAAAGTTTTTGGTTAATGTTCCTCTTCATAACTTACATAGCTTAAACTTATAATCAGTTACTTTGATACTTGATACAGTGATTCGTTGTAACTGTTCAAAGTTTTGTGTTAACCTTGTTTTACTTTATCCACTACCATAAATTGGAGTAGACTTAATTGGGAATAAACTTGTCTCATAGAAAACTAATGAAGGAAATTTATAACCTTGATTCGTAGTAGTGAATGTATTTAGTATGATAATTATTCATTCGTAAGTATTTGGATATATTTATGATAAATATCAGAAGGGGAAGCGTGAAAGCACTGGAGAGCCGTTTCGTCCTATTGTGGAAAGTCTCAGCAGTGAGCATCTACGACTCACCTCGCGTTTTCATAATGATCTAGTTTCAATTGACTCATGATCTTAACTATTAAAATAACTATAATATTCACAAAACTCCTTCTGATATTAATCAACATATGCTCACTAGTGATTGACTTCAAGAGGTATATCCTGGAGTTCTAGTGAGAAGTAGTGATCAGTGGAGTTCAACCCGGTCTGTTGTGAGATATCACCTCACTGATGACAACAGTGGATGTGTTGCTTAATTTCGTGGATTAGTTTAAGTTAGACATTAAGTTTATTGGATGCTGGCTCAGTGGCCTATTTGGTTAAGCGCTCGCTCACGAGGATGATAGGTCCTGTGTCCGAATCCCGTGAGGTGGTGCGGTCGTGGATTAGTTTAATGATTAGATTAATTCTAGTTAGATCTTTAATAATTGTAAAGAAAATGTTTCAAGTTTTAATCAAATTTCTGACAATATCACATCAGATGTTATTTGTAGTAAAGGTGTACTATACCACCGACTGAGAGGTTAACGTATAAACTGACTAAAGTTCATGAATTATGCATAAGAAGTTATGGTTAGGTTTTTCATCAATAAGTAACATCAACTATAATGTAAGAACTCATTACTTATTGACAACTGTTAACCCTCGTCGAGAAACATGAGATACTCACCAGCATTCTTCATTCAACTTTGTCATGGGCACTTTTTTCCAGTTGTTTCCAGTTGATATTCATCCTTTTCATGTCTGCTTTCAATTCCCAGTGGAGTGTGTTCTTTGATCTTTATCTTTCTCGTTTTCATTCAGGATTCAAAGTCAACGCTTGCAACATGGATGCAGTTTCATGATTTTCGTAATCTATTTCATATTCACTTCTCATTTCTTCTCCTAATTTACTCTTCAGCTGGTAGTTGATATGTTCTCTCCCAAAGTAGTTTGTTGCTGATAGTATCCAGTCAACGGGTATTAAGTATTTTTCGCAGACAATTGTTTATAAATACTTGTACCTTTTTAATCATGATTGTAGTAGGGATTACTTACGTTTCAGCTCCCTACAGTGCTGCTTCGACGTTCGTATTGAAGATTCTGACTTTGATACTGATTGAAAGTTGTTCTGCGTTCCATATATTCTTCAATTTTAGAGATGTTGTCCTTGCTTTGCCAGTCTTCGCCCTTACGTCTACATTTAATCCTTGTTGTTCATCGATGATGTTGATCAGGTACGTGAAAGATTCTACATCCTCCAGAGGTTCTTCATCAAGTGTGATTGGATGTGTGTTCTTCGTGTTCTATTTGAGGATCTTGGTTTTTTCCCTCGTGTATGTTGAAGCCTACTGATGCAAAAGCCACTGCTACACTACCTGTTTTCACCCACAATTGTTGGTATATATGGGATAGAAGAGCATGGTCATCTAGAGTTACTGCCGGTCCCATGCCCGGGTAAAGGAGGAGTGTTGTGCATGGGGTCAACAACCCCATACCATAGGAAACAATCTTGATAGAAATCGCTAACCAGTATAACGTAAAGATCTCGAAAGTTAAATGCTCATTATAAATCTTAATATAATAAATCATAGATCTGTCTTCTCTATCTCCTGACTGGTTAAACGGGATAAGACCCTGACGTCGTTCGGTGAAATATTACAACTTACCTTGTTGTTCCTAATGTTACTTATATGAAACTGCTGTTCAATGTGAGAACTAAGTTCTAAGTGAATTGAAATTTGATTACAGCAACGTTACTGTTCTATCTGAAGTGGAGTGTTCTCACAATGCATTTAATTTTAATGAAATCTTAATAAAATAAATGTTCTAAATGAGTCAAGTTCTGACCATATTTCTGATGTTGCATTCATTACTCATGTATGTAAACGAGCACTAAGTATATAGATTACTATAAAATGTGGTGGAATTCTCGAAGTTCTAGTGATAAACCGTAACCAGTAGAGATAATCCGTATCTGGTAGAGACATATATCTACCTCAGTACAATGGAAGTTGGTCGCGCAATTTTGTGGATTAGTTGAATTTAGACATTAACACAGTTGGATGCCGGCTCAGTGGTCTAGTAGGTTTAGTGTTCGCGCACGAGACTGAAGGCGCTGGGTGGGAATCCCGAGAGCGGGATCGTGGATGCGCCCTGCTGAAAACCCTCACTATAGGACGAAACGGCCATCTAGTGCTTCCAGATTTTCAATGGTGGTCTAACATCAATCGGTTCATGATCTCAATCAACAACATAATAATCTCCATAACCCTACACTTATATATATTAAAGGTTAATTTCACCGTAGCTCTGTTGTGTTTTATCTTGTAAGTGAATCTTCTCATGAACTTCGCACCAAGTTTTTACTGTTTTGTCGATTTGTTACGAAGTAATAGCCATCCATTCCTTCATCTATAGTTCAGCTTAAAGCTATAAGACTTAGACTGATTCAGTTTGATGCTTCATAGGATTCTCAATCAACTTAGCGTACAGCAAATCAATGGGAAGATTCAAGTAAAATAATACTAAGTGAATGTAAACTTCAACTTATTGCACGACTCATTATTTAAGTAACTAACGCAGTGGTATTTAGAACGAACGATATTGGGTTCGAGTGAAGATCAAATGTGAGATGCAGGTACATTCATCTGATGAGTCCTAAAATAGAACGAAACACGCGTGGAAATGGATTCCACTGCTAACCATTATCCATCTTTACATATAATGTATTATTATAAGCAAGTAAACTAATAACCATATTCATTTACTTTTATACATCTTAGGTGATCTACCTGAAACGTTGGAAAATAGTTAGATATGAAGATTGAATTATTCAATGGTTGTGAGATCTTCTTCAACATTATCTTCTTCTTCTTCTTCTTCTTCCTAATAAACAATCAACAACAACAAGAAAATGTCCCACATTAATATACAATACAGTTTTTGTATTAATGTCAAGTGAGTTTCTCTTTTATATAAATGATGCGCATGATTATGATAAATTTTTGTTTTATGGAGTATAATTTCAAGTTAGTAACAATGAGTATCAATTATGATGTTGATATGTTGTTAGGATACGGGTACTAAGTAAGGATAGAAAATCAATGGATGAACCAATGAAACTCCTTAAGCATTTCATCTGACCACTCTAAGCAACAATGCAAACATGTTGGGGATGCGATTCTCCCTCTCGAAATGCAAAATGTTTGTTATGGATGCAGAATAATGTGCCAATCATTATCATGTTAAGTCTAATGATGTCCTTGGACGTTAAATGAACATTTCCAATTGGCCGTTATTTACTTCATCCGTTAAATATTGTACAAATGTTGTTTTCTATTTTTATGGTACGATGTGGTCTGTTTGGTTAGTATATAAACAGAGTATGCTTGAAATACAACGATTCATATCTCCGAGGCTGTGACTTGTGTTCTGGACTCAACTGACTGGGCTAGACAGGCAAGCGGGACCAATCGAGACTCTAGGCCGTCCGTATGTGTTTACGTGTCATTGAATCGATCGATAAATACGCTGCTCTCTAATCTTTCCAGGCAAGGACACAACAATTAGCACAGGGTAAAAAAGTCGACCAAAAGTTTAAAGTCATAACAATGTTACTTCAGGATTGGGTTGCATCGACATCTGAACTAATGATAGGGAGTGAAGCAGTTGAGCGTGTAGACCACTTCATTTATCTTGGGAGTTTCATCAGCCCTTGTGGTCTGGTGTGTGACATGGTACAAGTCCATGAAGTCACTGACAAGTGGTAGGTGTAGACTACCTGGTTGGGATCCGCGAGATGATAACAACCGATGGTTAGAGACCTAGAATGACATGGCTCAAAATCGTTTGCAATGGTGTACTCAAGTGCATCCATTCTATGTGTTCTCCCAAATTCTAATCTTCTGAATTCTTCATGTTCCTTATATTCTCTCTTTTGAACTTTATTTCATTGGATTACACTTATTGAATAACATCTCCAAACCTTAATGTTTCCGATCACTGCTTATGCTCTTACTACCTCTACCACTACGGGATTTGAATCGACAACTGCATCTCTGTGGTAATGTGGTATGGTAACTCGAACTGATGTACGTACGTATGAAGTTCCACGTTGTTACTGACTGACTAATATGTAAGGTAATATTATACTGATCATGAATTGTCTAAAATCCATAAAGTAATGCAAATGAACTAATCTGATTAAGGTTACAACAAATTTCTTATCTGAATCAATTCGTACAGTTTTTTTACAGTAAGGTTTCTCATGAAGTTCCGGTTTTATCAGTCACTTCATTAGTAACTAAATCGTATTGTGGATAAAGATAGATGAACGGTTTAGTAGTAAAATATGTGGGATAAGTTATTGTGTTTTATTGTTGTCTAGTTATATGATGAAACATATAGAACGATTAGATAATGGCTAGTAGTAGAATTCATTTTGATGTGCGTTTCGTCCCATTTTTGGACTCATCAACTGGATGTACTTGCATCTCAGAGTCGATATTCACTCTAGGACTCGAACTCAGTACCGTCCACTCTAAATGCCATCGGATTATCCATTTAGAACAATTATATATATATAAGAAAAGAACCAGATCAAATTCATGATCGATTTAATATCTTGATTTAGCGTGATTGATGTAGCATTACGACTATCGTAACCAATAGCTGAAGACTGTGGGTGACATGGCTGAGCATCGATCACAATGGCATTGGTGTATAAAAACTTTGTCTTCTTTTATACTATGAGATTAAAGTTACTTTATAACTTTCTATTTACGATCTATTTCTTTCTCTCTGTACTATATCCTTATACACAATCTTTCTTTTATATATTACCACCATTGAATTAACTACTTCTATGCATCCGATGTTCATCTTGTTGTGTTAATGAGGTATGACAACTTGGACCGATTCATATATGTGCCTGATCCTACGTTGTAGCTGACTAACTGATGTACTTCCCACTCCAAAAAAGTGATTATATCTTCTATTCACTAGTGTTTAGTGAAAAAAATTCCAACAATTATTCGATTTCTAAAATCATCATTTATAATTTTAAGCCGTGATGTTAGACCAACATTTAGATCCTAGAAGCATCAATCGGTTCATAATCTCAATCAATAACTTGATAATCTTCATAACCCTATAGTGATAATTACCATGTAGTCATTAATGACTAGCTTCGTGAGGGAATTCTCAGAGTCTCTGGTGAGAAACCGTGACCAGTGTAGCTAATCCATGTCAGATAGAGACAGGTATTTACTTCAGTACTATAGAAGATGATCGCAAAATTTCGTAAATTGGTTGAGGTTAGAAATGGTTACCGGCTCAGTGGTCTAGTAAGTTAATCGTTAGAGCGCTAGATCGAAGGCCCTGGGTTGGAATTCCACGAGCGGGATCGTGGACGCACACTACTGAAGAGTCCTATACTAGGACGAAACAGCCATATAGTGCTTCCAAGTTTTCAATAGCGATCTGACATCAATCGGTTCATGATCTCAATCAAAAACTTAATGATCAATACAATGTTCTTTTTCTGTTTACATTTATCAAAAGATCTATTTATATGATATTTACCATCTGTTAATTTAATGTAGATTCATTTCAATATTTGTATATCGTGCTCAATGCAAGTAATTACCGTTTCCGATGTCGAATCATCATTTAAACAAAATGAAAAAAAATCATCTCAAGTCTGATTTCAAACATCTATTTAAAATATAAATAATTCACCAGGTTATTCATTCATGTATTTATTTATTTGTACAGATGATTATTAGTACGAAGGGGCACCGAATCCATATGCGCCACACAAGTCAATTGATTTGTGTGTGGTCTGTGATACTGCTCGGATGCCCAGACCGAAGTAGGTAATTTCCTCAGGAAGCCACCTCCGGAGGCTTCGACCTAAAGGTTTAATGCACAAGGTAATGGAACAACGTAAAGAGATGCAATACCATGGTAGCCGATGACCAACAATTGGTTCATACGCTATTTGTTCCTTCAGGATACTGAAGCCAACCCATGTGCTTCATTGGTTTAGAATCAGAGTTTTCCAACTCTCTTAGGTGGATCCTCCAGACCCACCAACCCGGTTAAAGCACCGGACATTCGCATTTCGTTCTCTCAATTTCTTAAATAACAACCACATTGTGAGAAAGCAGTGAGTAGGACTTTCTTGTATGCAAACGGATATCAGTCAGTCAGCCAACAGAAAATGATCATATAAGCTTGATTTGTACTAATCTATTAGCTCTAAAGAGAATTCTTAATAAGTTAGGCTAAGTCAATTCGAATTAGATCGCTTACTATTTATTAACTAATGATATAAATGAAATTTCATGTTTGATTAGAATACCGGTAAAACGGTAATTTATGGACGACTTTTAAGTGACTCTAGTGAATGACCATGAAACTGTTTATCTAACAACTAGGATTGAATGAAGGGGTTATAAATCATAGTGAGAAATTAGAATTATGATTTACAATCGATGATTAAGATTAGGAATTCGATTTGGGGTCGGTGCGGGGGGGGGGTCATCACCAAATGACATCAGTTATGAATCATATTTAACCAAATGAATGAGTGAATGTCGTGTCGAAATCCGAGATCTATTATCTTATATTTGATAGATTCATCCATAAATTCTAGTCTCATCTTCTCCTTTATTAGTTTCTATTCAATAATGATACAGTGGATTATTAATTAATTATTTTTTTTATAGAATTCTTTTCTTCTTCAATTGACTAGTTCAAAAAATGTATCCATTCTCTGTATTCAATCCAACTTCAATGAAACATATACATATCATAAAAACATATACTAGTAGTTGAGATGATAATTTTTTCGAAGTTTCGTTCAATGATACCTATTTACTTACTTACATCTGTTACTCTTCGTGAAGGAGTATAGATCGCCCATCCAGTACTCATCATCATCAAGATCTAATCTTATCCTGGGCAATCTTCTTTAAATGATACTTGGTATTTTGTTTTGATTTATAAAAGAATTCAAAATCAACAATTCCATCATTATTATCATACAATGTATAACCTTTGATATTTTTATTTTTCGAAGATTTTGCATTTTTGTTTTCTACACATAACTATTGATATTTTCTTTCATTATTTATTTATATTTCAGTTTATGCTTTCACTGTATTATTAACAGTGATTTCATATGTTATTAACAAGGGTTTTCATATATGATGAATTGTTCTATAATAACATAACAAACTACTTATAAACTACTTATATACCATTGAATATAAGTTTGTATGCATATCATGTGTCTGTGAGATCAATTTTCAGTATTCCACCCCACCCCCCACATCTCCTCACCTTCATCAATGTAATAAATCGTTGAAGGGATTTCGTCGAATAAGTATGAATTTCTTCAGATGTTTATTGTTCGTTTTATGTTTATTGAAGTGTGCAAATATTAACATTATCATCAATGTAATCATTACCTAATAACTTATGTGTTAAACTAATACTAACTGAAGAAAGTTACCAAATTCAAGTGTGTTTTTTTTCTATATGAAGAACATTTAGTTTGGTTTTATTTTTTAATTAGAAAGATCGTCATATCAATATATTTACTATCTAACATTACAATTATGGAAAACTTCTAGTGTTACAAGGGATTATTATGGTTAGAAACTAATTTTAGGACTCAGTAGTTGAGTGAATAACGCGCGATGGCATTTGAAGCGAATGGTAATGAGTTCGTGTCCCAGAGTGAACATCAACTCTGAGATGCAGGTACATCCAGCTGATAAGTCCCAAATAGGACGAAGTGACGCGCATCCTGGATTCCACTGCTAACCGCTATCCATCATTGTTTACAAATGGCTTGTGAATTAAGGCAATATCGAGGCATACGCAGAGTATGCAAATATGCCAATAACAAACTGATCCATTGCAGTCTTAAAGCTCAATGGGTAGATAAAAGCTAAACAATACCAAGTGAACTTAATTCTAGTCAAAATTTCAGACTTAAAAACTGAAACTACTTATAAATGTTTATAAGTAGTTGGATGCTATACTTAAAATTAATGTGTTAACATTATAGTAAATGAAATATTCAAAAAGTTTTCTCATGATTATAAGAACAAAAAAGGTAATTCTTCTGATTTAGACTGAAGTTCAGTGGATAAAAATAATAAACCAATCAGTCGAAATACATCACAATCAAGACATATTCTGCAGTAGCAGAAGTAGTATCTGAATCAGTGGTAGTAGAAAAGATTAATATTCATTAGATATTAGAAGCCGATAAAAAGTCGATCAAATCAAGTTTAGAATATCAAACACTAGAGGCTGTTTCGATGGTTTAAGTATATCAAACACATTAAGTGATCTAAATAATTTGAGTTCCATTTTGTTGAGATTTCAGTTATGACAGATGAGAAGTCCTAAACCAAAGGAAAAGACGTGATCACGAGAGTTTAAGCATATCGGGTGTGAGGTAGTTACAAACAAACGGTATTGGAAGATGATTGAATGATAACATAAATTTAATGAACTTAGAAATGTAAACCACTATATGTCGGCTCAGTGACATGAAAGGTTTATTATGAAACCAGGAAAGTCCTAAACTTGATACTGAGATTGTGGAAACAATGTATTGATGAGTTATAGGCTAAAACAAAACAGCTTTCCAGTGCGTCGTAGTAGGAAAATTACCAGTATAGAGCAGGCATCTGTCGGTCTATCACAGCTACTTGGTCGTAGTCTTAGAGACGATACAACTCAATAGAATGATACTTTACCAAACATGGGATAGAAAACAAATCAGTGTTTATATTGTTTTCTGAGATAAGCCTAGTTATTCTTATATGAACTGCTTTCGTTTGCTTCTTCACTAACTTCCTTTCATTTATTTCTTAACCAGATTATCGTTCCATTTGTGTGATGCAAATTTATGTACATTGATGAAACAAATCAACAAAGTATTATAGAATCCAACCACCAATCAGCAGTATGATAAGACGATCATTTTATGATAACAATAATAGAAGACGTATCCCTAAAACGGCTAAATGCCATCAGTTCAGCGATATCCCATTCTCAGCGGTTCAATAGTTGATGTCAGTATATTTACTATAAGTAATATGTACTGTCGGTTATTATGTTAAGCCCATATATACCTTATTCTAGCTTTTGGACAAGCTAATCTATTCCTTTTCCTTGATTCACATTTTGACCGTGTCAATTATTTGCTTATCAATCTTGACTATTTTTATCTGAACGCATATGTGTGTGCTCTTCTTATCCCATTCATCACATATCTGTAACTTAATTTTGTGTGACTAGAAATATTGATTAACGCTTGCTTAAATGGATTTGTCTCATATGCTTACTTCACTGTGTGTCATTTCGCTCCGATATCTTCTCTTCTCCGATACATTTTTCTGGATTAAGGTTTGTATGGAATATAAATCTTTGAAATTCATTCTCGTATTGGACTTATTTCATTCCATTATTGATTAACGCGATTTAATTCGATGAAATAGACGAGATTATGTGACATATATAATATTTCGACAGCAACCATTCAATACGATCTAATTGGAGGAGGATTTCGGGCTATTAAAGATATTTCTCAGAATTTTTCACAATCGTATAGATGCATTCACTCTTTTCATTCTTCATTCGATCATGAGCGATAGTAGTATTTCTTTCATATGTAACCCTCCACTCTGTTATATTTGAACCTTATTCTTGATGATTGTTTTTCCCAGTGTCATTGTTACCATACTATTTATATCTCTTCACCTGTTCATTTAGTTAATCATATTATCATGCTAATATGATACATAACAACTTAAAACAAGACAAATCTGTATCAGGTTTTATGTTGATGACTATCAGTTTGTAACTTACTTCCTAAACAGAGATGAGTGAATTTGACTTTAAAGGATAATTCATATGTGAAAAGTATTAAATACTACTTGAACTGAATTATAAATAGAATAAAACTTTAAACTACAACCTGTATGGTTGATAAACTATGTGTATTAACCATCAAACCATCAGGATATAAGAGAATGATTGTAAATCAGTTGATGAGGTTGTAAACCTTTATCGACTGAGATGGTTGGGCCATGTGTTACGTATGCCTGAACATCGATTACCACGACACGCAATATTGACCAGTACTGGGAACGGTTGGGAGAAAGTTAGAAGCGATCAAACCAAAACGTGGCATCAGTCCACGGAGTCACTAACTTCTAGTGTGAGCCATATTAGTAGATGCAGACTACTTGGTTGGGGTCCGCGTGATTATCGTAACCAATGGTTGGAGACTCTTGGTGACATGGCTCAGAATCGATCACAATGGCGTCGGTGTATACACTCCCTGTCTTCCCTTAAACTAAGAGATTAAAATCACTTCATATCTTTCTTTCTACAAAGTAATTCTCTCTCGTACTATATCCTTATATGCAATCTTTCTTTTATATATTACCACAACTGAATTATCTACTTTTATGAATCCGGTGTCCATCTTGTTGGACCGCTGCATATATGAGTCTGGTCCTACGTTGTAGCTGACTGACTGACTGACTAACTAGACAACACTGTGCCACTACTCAACACAAACCATCCAATTTACAAAGATCATCCTCTTTCATCAAATATAAACAATCTTCTAATTCATTCTTCGATGTGTGTTTTTTTAAACATGAGTTCATCATAATAACAAATAATACATATACATGATAAATTGATTTCAGATATGGAATAGTAGTGAATAGTAATGATAAAATTACTATTTTTTATTGAAGAAATTTGTAATGGATTGTACACCTTTTGGAATTTTCGCTTTCTTTATCGTGGACTAGAAGAAATAATTTGAAGAGAAAAAACAAAACAAAATTAAACAGAATACTACTGTTGTATTAAATAAACTAACTAATCTTAGTTATACTATCATTTAGAACCTGAAAGCATTGAATGTCCGATTCGTCCTAGAATAGGACTTCTCATAGGTCTTCGATATCCATAATCTTGAACCAGAAAATCCAACACAGAACCCAGTTGTGTGTGTGTCCGATTTTAGTCGACTCATGATATTGGAAGTAAGCTAAGGGCGGCCAGAACAAAACATGGCACTATTCCATGAAGTCACTGAGAAGTGAACTAAGCCATATTGGTAAGTATAGACTACCTGGTTGGGAACTGCGAGATGATAGCAACCGATGGTTAGAAACCTTGAGTGATATCACTCAAAATCGTTTGCAATGGTGTGCTCAGGTGCATCCACTCTTTGTGTTCTCCAAAATTCTGGTCTTCTGAATTCTTCATGTTCGCTATTTTTTCTCTTTCCAAATTTATTTCACTGGATTATACTCCTTGAATAACATCTTCAAACGTTAATCTTTCGAATTACTGCTTATACTCTTACTACCTCTAATACAATGGGATTTGAATGGACAATTGTATCAGTGTGCTAATGTGATATGGCAAGTTGAACTGATGTATGTACGTACGTACGAAGTTCTACGTTGTTACTCACTGACTGATCTTCTTTTGCCTACGATGAATAACTGTCTCATATTGAACATGGTTAAACTCTATTGACCACAGCTTTTCACTAGAACTTGACTTGTATCTACAAGTTGATCATTAGTGACTACATGATTAGAATAAATGAAGTAGGATTTGCGAAATTTGCCCATTATTAAACACGAATTGAACTTAGCTAGATATATAGAAACATTGGATGGCTATTTCATCTTAGTATAATATAGTGCCTTAAATTGTTCTGTGAATATGACATAGACAACATATGCTCGAATGATAAGCAACTGTAAATTACAAGGTTACGATAAAGTAGTTGTCAACTTAGGAATTAATGATTGTTAGTTGTTTAAACGGATAGGATTTTATGTGTATTTAGCTAAAATAACAATAATGGCAACCATACCATCATCCATTAAATAACTGAGTGTTAATTATTTACATCCCATTTGGTAGTAATTAAGTTTGTCTATAAGTAAAAATATTAATTTTATCTACTAATTAGCATAAAAAGGTTTAAAGTAATTCGATCTATGTAAAATAGAAAATCTTGAGTCATATGAAGAAGAAGAACAAGCTTGACTGATCAATATTTGTGCAAACATTTATCAGACTCATTTGCATGTATAGTATTGTATATGCCCTGGTTTGGTTGAAGGTGAGGAAAGTCAGCTTTCCCTCTCGAAATACTCTCACATGACCACATACATACAACCACTGACATGGAAGTTCTACTCACTGCCGTCTAGCGGCAGAGTTGTTATTTACGAAATTTAGATGAAGAAAAGCGATTGTCTGGTGCTTTAACCAGATTGGTGGATATGAAGAATCCACCTGAGGGAATTAGGAAACTCTACTTTCAAACGAATAGTGGATATGGGCTACAGGATCCTAAGGGAACAAATGACGTTAAACCTATTGTTACTCGCCTGCTACTATAGGATAGCATCACCTAACGTTGCTTCACTGCATTGTAGATTAGACATTTAGATCAAAGGCTCAGGGAGTGACTTCTTTCTACCCATAGATACTTCTTTACTATGTTGATATGAATTGTGGTAAATCATTCTCTTACCCTTAGTAATTTTATATAGCTCTCTAATCATTATAAGTCCGCCTGGAGTCCCTCCGGGAGCTACTGCCGGTCCCAAGCCCAGATAAAGGAGGAGAGTTGGGAATGGGGTTAGCGACCCCATCCCGTAGAAAACTGACTCGCTAAAAAACGCTAACCAGAGAAAAAAGATCACTAAGCAGTATATCTCAGGTCAAAGAAAAAGAAAAAAAAGAACGGAATGAGATTTACAAAACAACAACAACAAAATTAACATACCTCATTGATCTTTGATTCATTTAACTTTAATGCTGAAGAATAGTCTTCTTTGGGTTGATAATTTTTCGACTTATGTAAATATTAAAACATAAAGTGAATCAAACAATGACTTATATAAGATGAATAGTACGGTAAAAAGTTATTAAATTATTTAAAAAGGGTCAACTAGGTCATGATCTGATAAGATTATATTAATGTCACCAAAAAGAATGATGGTGGTACGTTATAAAGTACTTTAATAATCATTGTATTTTTAGTTAAGAGCTTTATGATAACCAAAGACTCTGGAGGAACAAATGGAGTATGAACCAATCGCTGATCACCACAGTTACCATGAGACTGTATCTCCTAGCGTTGCTTCACTGCATTGTGCATCAGACCTTTAGGTTAAAGGCTGCAGATGTGGCCGCCATTTAAGAAAACCACGTGTTTCGGTTTGGGCACCCAGGCAGTAGTATCACAGCCCTTACACAAATTGAACGATTTATGTGAAGCATATATATTTGGTGCCTCCTTATATCAATATTTATGTGTTCAAATAAATCAATAAATAAATGTGATTAAAATTAGGGTTATTTAACCATTGAGCCTTTAGTCAGTTGGCTATGAACGACAATCATGTTTCTAAGTTCTCACCACTACAGATAAACAGTTTAAGAATTCCAGATAAAAAAGGGTAAAATAGAGAAACAAAGATGAGAATATACTTCTCTTAAACAAAGTAAGTAGCCATTCGTGTATTTTGAAACTAACAACATTATGATATTGTTAAGAGCGAGTTACATTTGAATCTTGAGTTAGATTCCTATAGGTTAGTGAAAAGGAAATAAGGCGAGACTCTAATTTATGGATGACCTTTGAACGAATCTTAAGTCACCTTGAGAAATATCAGCCAATCAGCACACAGTCAGCATAGAGTAAAAATATATTATTATACAAAACCAAAGAAATAAAGTGGATACACTTCTTAGACGTAGTTCAAAAACTTGTCAAGGTTAGAAAGAGGTTCAAAGGCCCTAACATCGTAATGCATGCAGTAGAGGAAATCATCCCTATGGCTACAGAATAGTCGGCCTTTGAAGCCATGATAAAGTCTCAAAAACTCTTTCAACTTCGACCACATAGCTTCAATATTGTTTGTGTGCACTCCGGTTGTTGAGTGCACAAAATGCTACTTGTGGATAACGACACGATGCACATAATCAGGCCTATGTAGAAGTCTGTACGCTCTCCAATCATCCGTACATATTGTAGTACCCGGCTGCAGCCAGTGTTAGTGGTGCTTTTATTATCCAGTTCGCAATAATCGTCGTAATTTGCCTTAGCTAGGAATTATATATGGGGTTTTCATCACGAACTGACATCAGCTATAATGCTAGAAATCTATTTAGCCAAATGGATGAAAGGCTTTCGCATTAAAATCTGAGATTTATTATCTTATATCTGATTGATTCGTCCACAACTTATAGTCTCGCCATTTTATTTGTTATAGCTGCTCGATTATCACGTTTTGTACAAAATTCCCTGTGAACCGATCGTACGTTAGCATTAAGCACTGAAGTTGGCGCCTGAACCTTGAAATCTCTAAAACGCCTCTGATTGGCTCGTCCATAAATTAGAATCTTACCGGAAATTTTTTTAATGAAATCAACTTACATCAAATGACTTCTGGATAAATTTATTATCAATAGGATCAATATTTTCAGAGGAACTCATATCCGACAAATTGAATTCAATCGTTTTTAATCCTATTTTTTCTTGAAGCTTAATGTATAAATCAGGTGAAAGATAATCAGCTACTAATTGATAGGCTAAATGTAAACATGTTTGATGTGACAATTGATTGGTTGATAGTGTTTCAGCTTCTTTGGAACCTAATTTACAGAATACAAAACATTAATGATGAAGTTTATTGATAACTATCTTTTTAACGCTATAAGTAATTTATTATTGTAGTAACAAAGAAAGAAATACATATTTGTACTTAATATGCTAGTTATTAAGCCTGTTTCATATCTTTTAAGCATAAAGAGCATCCATTTATGTAAGGTGATTGTTGAATGAACAAGCATAAGATCCATCACTCCCGACCGTTGTTGCTACCTTGATGTGGTGGTCGGACTTGCCTATCGTGATGAAGCAACCGAGCTATACTGGCTGGAACAACCGTTCCTTAAGGTCCTATCATGTCAGACAGATCGGTTGAAGAGCGGTAAGACTAAAAGCAGCAAACCCAAGGTCCGAAGGATATCCGTCTCCGGCGGTAAGGTCTCAACAAGTACGGAGCTAACACAAAAATTACTAATAAAAAGATTGTGTGTGACCGACCTCAAGCAGTTGTCCCTTGTGCACTGCGGTCACGCTCTGAGGTCACTAAGACCAACTCTAATCCAATTTCTTTTTCAGGTACTCCCAGAAGAACCCTTCCACGGTGTGGGCAACCGGGAAGTGATAGCCGCCCTCATACCTTTAACAGCACCCAAGACCACTGTATTCATAATCTCAAGAGATCTATCACTTATGTAACAATTAAATGTATCATTTTCATCTTATTAATTATTTTATCTATTTACAACTATTACATATACGTAACTGTCAGTATGTAGGCTCATCTATCTATTGTATTAAATAAATGAACTATAGAAAGTAACTTAACAATTCACTTAACGGTTTGTTACCAAATCGATCAATACAAACAATGAATAGTTATTATATTCATTTATTCATCATAATTATTGGTCGCCAAATGAATCCATAATACAGTACACAATTTAATACAAACTTTCAGCACCTTTTGTACTACATGAGTGTGGTCTACTAGTTACAGTGCAACATTTGAAATAATATCCATTCCCAAAAATTCTTTGTATCAGACTATTAACCGATTACACAATCAGATTATTCGCATTCAACACTAACAGATTAAGGTTTGTAAGTTAAAGTCGCTAGTAAAGTTTGTATTGAAAGTTTGTGTGAAATAAAAGGAATATGAATACTTCCATAGTTGGCTACATTTGTGTTATAACTGATGGTCGATTATTATAACTGAGTCGCCAATTATTATGTTGGAATACCTTACCACTTATACTTGTAAAACGAGGAACCACTGCGATTCTCATGACGCGAAAGTACAAGTGAAGATTTATTAAACCCAAAACACGACAATGACCCTGATCGAAAATACACTCATTTATACATTAATTTGTACACCCATTTTTGATTAATCATGAGGATGAAATCACATATACGAAAAATACTTAGAGTTATAACAAGTCAGTCAATCAGTTACAACGTAGGACCAGGCACATATATGCATCGGTCCAAACTGTCACACTTCATTAGCACAGCAAGACGAACACTGGATCCATAGAAGCAGTTAACTCAATGCTGTAATATATAAAGGGAAGATTGCATATAAGAATATAGTACAGGACGAAAGAGTTAGTTCGTAGAAAGAAAGATGTAATTCACGTGCTACATGTCATGCTGTGCATATTTCATGTCAAGTTAATACAAAAATACAGTATCTTATACAGAATAAAACATACTGTAAAACAGAACAAATACTACACTGAGTAATAACACACTGAATTTAAACAAAAGTACTATTGAACAAAAAAAAATAATGAGTAGAATAATCTTATGTTGCCTTTTTATCTCGTCATAACAATTCGATTAAATGGATGACTGCTAACGCTTTGTGAATATTACTGTCTCAATTATTCCCTAACAAGTAGGACTGTCATGCATAAAATTTCGTCATTTTTGCAGAAATACTGTTCATTTTGATCATGCGAAGTACATGCTACTGGTCCAATTCAAATAGCCTGTATGTCATAGCATATGAAGACAATATAACCTACATACTCTTGGATGATATATCTTTCCCTACATAACAGGTCTACACTAAAAACAAACACTTAGTTGTTCCCAGAATATAATCTATAAGAAAAATAAGGATCAAGTGATATTGATTAGCTTTGGGTACAATATGTTCGGAATAGTGAAAGGATATGGTTGTATATTTTCAATGTGTTGTGAAGCTATCATTGTCTTTTTATTAGTTTGGCAGAACAAGCTATTAGTGACTCGTGGAGAAATCCTGATACCTCACTCTTATCTGGAGCTTGTGCTGATAATATCTAGAAAGAATATGAGTTTCACGATTAAACCAACCAAGCTAGGAAAACAATCTACCAAAATCTTCATGAATAAGAGGTCTTTACCTTCAATCTACCCTAATTTCGTTAGAGTTATACTTTTAAATAAAGTTTCAAAATTGACCTGTTAGACTAGTAACAAGCAGTCTTGAAAATGAGAAATGAAACGGCTGGTGGTGTGAAACACACTTGTCAAATCCACTAAATTATATAGAGCACATATCATTTTAACAACACGCTGAGACATCCCAAGGTTAGTATCACATATACTTTAAGCAATTTGGTTCCATAAACCAGTGAGTGCCACAAATTAGAACAAAATTACTAATTGGCTATACGAGTTGAAGTACCTCGTTTGAGTTAAGTAATGTCTGGGTTTGAGTACGCTTATTTAGGGATAAAATTCACTGACTGACGTTTAATTGTCCTATTGACCGTCGTATATTTAGTCACGAGAGGATTTGGTGTGAAAAAAATGAAAGGGAGGTTTAAACCGTAGTTAAATATGCAACAAAGAAATTATTTGTTGATAAAACAACAAAAATTTTGAAAAACTCTTACTAGAAGTAAATTCTGGAACCCGTGAATCTTCACTTTTTCCATCGTACTGATCAGAAGATGAACTACTAGCAATTAATCGAAGCTGAGAAACTAAAACAGGATTCTTGCAGTTGTAGGAAGCCTTATAAACAGCAGATACTCTATTCGACAACCACTCGATCGCCTTAGATTCATTTAACCGATAAACAGATATACTACCAATACCTTCGAAAAACAAATGGTCAAGATACATAAGCATTGTCAATACAGGTTCATAATTTGTAGTTTGTGAACTAAAACAGTTTTTCCGCTTTACTTTATAAATGCGCTTCGGTATGCAATAAAGCCGAATGAATTGCACACTATGTAACATATATTTTTGACTAGCCATTAAATGCAGTACGAACCTCAACAAACAAAATGCGATAAACTCTAACCCTTTACTATTTAAAACAATTAGTCCATTTGATAAATTTCGATAATGATATTAGAAGACGAAGATTATCAGAACTATGTGATATATTAGCGCCATACATTTCGAACAATCTAGTCACACATATACTTGTTAAGATATGGATAATGATAAGAGTAATAATAATATGAACACAAAGCGAAACCTAATCACTCTGGATAATAAGTCAATATTACCAGGGTAGGTTTAAGGTAAGAACAAACTGTTTTTGAACACATAAAGGGGGTTTAAATTTTCGTATTGCTAAGGCTTCAATAAACCTTAGTATACGCCCTTTTACACTTTTATACAGCACTACAAAAGCTGAATTTAGATCAATCTTGTGACCTGTTTCAATTATATGTTTAGCAATAGAGGATGATGAATGTTTATCCTCTGCTCTTATTGGGTCACTTGATTATATTTGTTTCTGAAGCCATTTGGGTACATGTTCACTCACCCTAATGTTGAGATCACGATTACTCCTCCCTATGTATGTGTGACCACACACATATTTAAATTGGTAAACACAGTGGGATGTGACGCAATCGTTTCCATGTACTTTAGGTTTTGAATGAAGCATGCACCTTGTTCTTTCTTTGATGATGACCTTTGCTGCGCAATAGGTTTTATTGATGACTGATTTAAGTCGTTGTTTCAATAAAAGGCTATTTGAATCACCTCTGAATGGTAAGGTGATGTAGACAGGCTTTTTCTCTACCGAGGCTACAGTAGGTCTCGCTGTACCATGGACTTTCCATCTATTTATGAATTTCAGAGGATAGCCATTTTCTATTAACGTTTTATTTAACAACTTAACATCATCATCAATGGCGTCGTTTGTAAAAATACTGTCGAGTCTGTTGAAAAGACACTTTATCAAACCACGTTTGTATTGCACAGGGCAATAACTATTAATAACTAAGATATTGACCTGTCCACGTTGGTTTCCTGAAAATAGATCGCTTGAACGAACCATCTTCTCGTCTACTCAGGAGTATATCTAGGAAGGGAAGCTGATCGTTTTTCTCCTCTTCACATGAGAGACTAATATGGTTTTGGAGAGTGCTGAGTTTATTTAATAAACCGTACATATCCTCTTTTCTCTCACAAACAACTAAGATATCGTCCACATATTTATTACAAAGTGACATGTTTCCGATTAATTCATCAGTCTGATTTTCAACGTGCCATGAATACATCTGCTAATAATGGTCCTAGCGGACTACCCATAGCAACTCCATCAATCTGACGAAAGTATTCACCTTCAAAAGTGAACTGAACTTTGTTAATACATAGCAGTAAATCTTTAAGAATTTTTAAAGGGACACATAATTTAAGCTTGTTTACAGATATGTAGTCGCATAATATATCAATGGGTTTTTTTCAAAGGTACATTTGTAAACAAGGAATTCACATCAAATAAACACAATGTGTTTTCCTTGATATTAATATCATCTAAATGATCAACCAGTTCAAAAGAATCCTTTAGATGATATTAATATCAAGGAAAAGACAATGTGTTCATTAGATGTAAATTCCATGTTTACAAATGTACCTTTGAAAAAAACCCATTGATATATTATGCGATTACATATCTGTAAACAAGCTTAAATTATGTGTCCCTTTAAAAATTCTTAAAGATTTACTATTACTATGTACTGACAAAGTTCATTTCACTTTTGAAGGTGAATAATTTCGTCAGATTGATGGGATTAGTATGGGTAGTCCGCTAGGACCATTATTAGCAGATGTATTCATGGCACATGTTGAAAATCAGACTGATGAATTAATCGGAAACATGTCACTTTATAAGAGATATGTGGACGATATCTTAGTTGTTTGTGAGAGAAAAGAGGATATTTACGGTTTATTAAATAAACTCAGCACTCTCCAAAACCATATTAGTCTCTCATGTGAAGAGGAGAAAAACGATCAGCTTCCCTTCCTAGATATACTCCTGAGTAAACGAGAAGATGGTTCATTCAAGCGATCTATTTTTAGAAAACCAACGTGGACAGGTCAATATCTTAGTTATTAATAGTTATTGCCCTGTGCAATACAAACGTGGTTTGATAAGGTGTCTTTTCAACAGACTCGACCGTATTTGTACCAATGACGTCATTGATGATGATGTTAAGTTGTTAAATAAAACGTTAATAGAAAATGGCTATCCTCTGAAATTCATAAATAGATAGAAAGTCCATGGTACAGCGAGACCTACTGTAGCCTCGGTAGAGGAAAAGCCTGTCTACATCACCTTACCATTCAGAGGTGATTCAAATAGCCTTTTATTGAAACAACGACTTAAATCAGTCATCAATAAAACCTATTGCGCAGCAAAGGTCATCATCAAAGAAAGAACAAGGTGCATGCTTCATTCAAAACCTAAAGTACATGGAAACGATTGCGTCACATCCCACTGTGTTTACCAATTTAAATATGTGTGTGGTCACACATACATAGGGAGGAGTAATCGTGATCTCAACATTAGGGTGAGTGAACATGTACCCAAATGGCTTCAGAAACAAATACAATCAAGTGACCCAATAAGAGCAGAGGATAAACATCCATCATCCTCTATTGCTAAACATATAATTGAAACAGGTCACAAGATTGATCTAAATTCAGCTTTTGTAGTGCTGTATAAAAGTGTAAAAGGGCGTATACTAAGGTTTATTGAATCCTTAGCAATACGAAAATTTAAACCCCCTTTATGTGTTCAAAAACAGTTTGTTCTTACCTTATACCTACCCTGGTAATATTGACTTATTATCCAGAGTGATTAGGTTTCGCTTTGTGTTCACATTATTATTATTATTATTATTATTATTATTATTATTATTATTATTATTGCTCTTATCATTATCCTTATCTCCTCTTACTCCACCCTCTCGAAATGCTCTCACACGGCCATGCGTATACAGGCTCTGCTAGGGAAGTTCTACTCACTAAATTCTCGTGGCGGGGATGTTATTTACGAAATTAAGAGGACGAAAATTGGATGTCCGGACATGGGCTCCAGTATCCAGCGTGAACAAATGGCGTACGAACCAATCGTTGTTCACTGGCTTCCATGTGACTGCATCTCCTTACGGTGCTCCACTACCTTGTGGGTCAGACCTTCAGGTCAAAGGCTCGGCGTGTGGCCCCCTAAGAAAACTACCTGCTCCGGTCTGGACACCCGTGCAGTATCACGGCCCACAGCGCCGTCTGGCTACAAAAGGTCGGACCTACAACGCGTCCGTGAGAGTAGATTTGCTCTATGCTTATGAAACCTGGGCTCTCCGAGTTGAGGATGTTAGACGACTCTCTGTGTTTGATCATCGCTGTCTCCGAAGGATTGCTGACATCCAGTGGCAACACCATGTTAGTAATATAGAGACTAGGCATCATGTGTTCGGGCACAGGGACGATAATCCAGTTGGTGTCACCATCTTGAAACACCGGCTTCGGTGGCTTGGACATGTTCTACGAATGTCGTCCAAGAGAATTCTATGTCGCGCATTATTTGCCGACGCTGAGACTGGTTGGAAAAAGCGGAGAGGTGGTCAGTGTATGACATGGTGTCGTGGTATGAAAGAAAGCTGCAAAGGGCTGGCTTGTGTTGGCCCTTCACAACTCCTTGGCTGGGATCCTAGAGATGGTGCAACACAGTGGCTAGGGACGTTATCAGATATGGTTCAGAATAGAAGCCAGTGGCGATCCTGCTGTAACGTCCGTTTACCTTCTTCATAAAAATTGGTTGTATCTTCCTTAACTGAAAGATTTCCTTTGGTTTTGCCTTTCCGTTTTCCCCATTATTATTATTATTACACTACCTTACACTAATCTGTCCGTTATTGTTCTTTTTTACGCTCCTTACCTTAGTTTCCTTCGAATTCTCATTGTTTTGTGCGGCGCTTATGTATTTGGTGCTCTCTTGTACCAATATTTATGTGTTCAAATAAAGAAAGAAAAACTAAGTAAATGCGAGATTAATTTGGCTACATACAAAAATCTAAGAATAAAAAGTACTCAAAGAATAAACTACACGAGATAGGATGGATGAAATCCACTAAAATTCAGTATTTGAGTACATATTCACAATACACACGATTCACGAAAGGACAGATGACATGATACACTAATTAATACGAATACAGGGATTTTCCATAAGTCTCTCTAGAACTAAAACCCTGATCTTAAGACAGCTAACGAGACTAGTGCATAGTGAACAAACTGATATCAAACATACCTACAAATGGTACGGGAACAAAACTTATTAAAAATGACCTGATTATGGTGCGTAAAAAACCATGTACAGTAACTGTATCTAGTAATTCTTATGAAGAACAATTTTTAAAGATGGCCATGACTCATGGTGAGAATAAAGACTTACACCTTTTGTCACAAATTTCTTCAAGACGACTTTCCATGTTGGGAATGTTGCTGAAGACATCGAAACATCCACCAATTTCACTCAAAATAGCATCCCATGAAATAAACTTGTCCTAGAAATGTAATTCTCTAAAGTTAAAAGACAAACATTTTTTCTGCAGAATGATATGAAGAAGAAGAGGGGATCAATTCGATTACAAACGTACATCCCACCATCTACATGTCTTCATATAACAAATATTTAAATATATATACCAGATTTGATATTCTCACCAAGCATCCAAGACCGACATTTTTCGTCGATTTTCTGAATTTCAAAAAGCTCTGAAGACTGACCATCCCACAGATACAAACAAGGTAAATCTAGAAGGGTTACGAGGCCCACGTCTATCCAAAGAAACGACGTCCTACCTGATCTTGGATGTTTTAGTCTAATTAAAGAACACTTTGAAGGCTGGCATGTAACGCTGTCTACGGACATATATAATAGCTATGAGAGAAGGTACCTGGAATTAGGAACACAGAGCTACAATCATGCATTTCAAACCACACGGTAGCGTGTAATTGAAATCAACCCCTAATGCTTCAGCGACCTTGATCAGCCTTCATCAAGGCAGTCACTTCATATTTGAAGTGCACCATGTCAGTGGCGTGTCTGTTGGCTACATCACTGTGGTATTCAAAATTGGTTCAAAGTGGTTCAGTATAAAACAGAAGAAAAACTTGATTAACCGGCTTACGTATTTAGTAAAAGTGGATCACAGATGCCGCTACGTAAGAGCTTAATAATATTTAACGATAAAAGATAAAAATACTGGTAAGTTGTGTTGAAGTACTGTGTTTGGTTCTTAAGAATGTAGCGGTAAGTAAATCCCGAAAACAAATAGCTCTGTAAGTCTTCGACATTGGATGCTGACCATATTAGTTTTAGTGGACTCACCTAACTGAAGGCTCTCGGTCATGCATCCGCACCAGATCACGAGTGGGAACGCCGTCCTCATCATTCCCTGCAATCGCTAGCCAGATTAGATCAGACGATCCTCCATACATTAACAGCCTATCAAATATATCTCCGAACCTCCTCGCTTCTGTCTTTTGATTTCATTTGGTGGATACGATTCATATGGGGTGTTACTGTTTAAGCGTTGTCGAACTATAAACACCTTTGGCATCTTCAAGAATATGTCAATTCTCCTAATTAAGGACTCCTGGAAAGTCGCTTAGACTAGCTCAGACGGTAGCGAATTCCACAATTTGACTACTCCCAAGTTTTGTGTTGGGGCTAAGCTTAATAAGGTGTTTAATGGGATGTCGAGAAGCATTTAGGTTGCTGTACTTTAACGGGTGAAGATTCGGTTACCGGAAGCAATTTTCACAAGTCTTAAATTTGAGTACCCGTGTGGAGATAGGCCTGACAAGCTTATTTTGTAAATAGTTTTCAATGTTATTTGTATTCGTTTTGTCAACCTTCCACTGCATGTATATTTAACATTAAATGACTGTAACTGTTGTTTTAGTAAATGACCTTGAACACGCTTTCCGTTGTGCAACCACGTAGCGTGACATACTCTTGCTGGCTAACAAATACACTACTACTCACATATTCCTCGTTCTATCTTCGTTTGTGATTGAGTTATCTGAGGTCTAAATCAAATACTATCATTACTTACAGACTGTAATTGGAATATATCACATTCTACTTTGGATTATATCACTGGAGAGTTCGTCAACCCGATCAGAATCACCAAGCGTTTATAGTTGTGGATTTACAATACCGGACCCAATGAGAACACGCAACATTTGGTCAATTTAAGTAACGTCCCAAATTTTTTTTGTATTTGTAACATTTAACTGGTAAATATTGATATTACTATTGATTTTTATTAACTTTGTTGATACTTTTTTCGTTTATATATAGTCTGGTCCACCACACCCGAAATGATTTTGTGGCTCGTTGTTGGATGAGGTACAGATTGTCGTTATACTTTTGGAGTGAGAGCAGAAAAACAATGCTTCCATACTCTGAATTGTGACGAATAAAACTGTTAGGGGTTATGTGGAAAGTTCTTCCACTAGAATGGCAGAAAATGAGCTTCAACGTTAACAGTACGAGGATTTTTCCAAAGGCGTTTTTGTCGCAGTTAGCCTGAGACTTCAAGTGGCAGGGCACATGCACTCAAATCTTTTTCACCTTGGGGTACCTCTAGACAGAATTTGCAAGTTGCATTTGTAGTCTTCAACATGTGTCATATGGACTACCTTACTAATCGATGTATTAAAGATAAGCCTGTTGTCATCTGCTCAACTTTAATGTCGAGACAGATCCTCTTGAATCGGTTGCGTAAGTCTCCAAAGTTTCATATCATGGCCGAAAGGTAAAAAATCTTGCGATAACTGCTAAGGGAGGTCTATATAAATAAAGAAGATGAGATTGTTGTGACCTACTTTTATTAAGAGAACGCGATTGGTGTAATGGAAGCAATTAATATTAAAACGAATATTGCCTGTGATTTTTTTACCGTGCTCGTTTGTTTAATTGTACCAAAACACATACCTTCTTCCGTTAACTGTGACCTTGCACGCTCTCGGTTACGCTCAGTAGTTTCACTGGCACACTATGCGTGTTAGGTCACGGGTTTTCGCGCGCATGTAACATATTGTCATGGACTTTATGTGTCGGTATTTATCAGCTATTAACAGCCTTTTTTCCATCATACGTGATTTCTCGTAATCTTTGTGATCGGAAGATAGTTTTTATTTCAATTTATAAGCAGTTTGACGTATTTTGTGCTCACCACCTAAGTAAATATGTAGTTGGCGTAATATGGTTATTTTTAACAATACAAAGTCAAACAAGTCAAATCACCATTATTCTAGTCAAAAATAGATTACAGATTGAGTTTTCATGAAGATAAGCCGTAAAAAGCATTATATATGGTTCACCTCCTGGATTATGGTGACGGCAAACATAGATGTCCGTAGTCGTTTATAAAATGTAATTAGAAAGAAGTCAGCGTTAAACTAACGATGATTATTATATAAATTGTTTGTATTTAGCCATAAAAGGTTATTTGGACTGTAGGTAGCATTGTTTTGTACTGAAGTGACATATTATTGTGTAACGTATCAAAGAAAAACTATGTGACTATGTGACGTTGATAGTCTTTTTACCGGCTTTCTGAACGTATACAGGAACAGTGTATAACACCACATTAAATAGGCACAAAATCTTCATAAGTAAAACGATGGGTGTCTCTTCTGAGCATGGTGACAAAACCATGTCGTACTTAATACTGATTTATGATGTGTCTGTTAGAGGGTTGACGAATAATTTACTGTAAACGAAATGCACAATCGCATACGAAAATGTGAACAAAGTTATGATGCATATTGTCGAGTAATATCTAAATGGTGCTTACCAATTTCTCTTGCTAATACCAGATGTATAGACGAAATACTACAAGGGTTAGACACTGAAGAAATTCCCAGTGCTTGTTACGACACAGACTTGAATAAAAAAACAACTATCAATGAGTTAATTCATGAATTCCTCCTGCATTACAGACTGACTCGTCCGAAGTAATTCATGCAGACAACGTGACGTAAAGTGAATAAGCAATGGAAGCACAATCACAAGTTCCTTGTATTCATATCTCCTTTATGCTACATTAATTAATTACATTTTCTTCATAAGTCAGACTACGCTTGTATGTTGTGACGAAACTAACTTCAGCAATTTGTAAATAACATTGATATGTGTGTTGTAAAGATCACCTATTAATCTTTATTAAAGGAAATAGAAATCTCTAACGATAAGCGCTGTCTGCAAATAAGAGACTTATAGGTACATTCTGTAATCTGCTATTTGATTGACTTATTGAATGTGATACTGATAACTAAATCTAATTCTTTATTTCACGACTGATTTGTTGTTTTACGTATTGCCTAGTAACATTTTTATTCAACTAATGAATTATTGAATTATAAATATAGCAACTACACTCAGTGTCTTAATTTATAAACCGTGTACGTATTTATTAATAGTCGATATGACGCTAGAACAAATATAGATAGAGAATAATATGAACTCCTTATAATCCACGAAATGAACAAGTAATAAGATGGATTATGTAATAATTCATTTCACTTTTAAAATTTAGTTACCGATTTATTCTAGCACCCTGTCACTTACATCTACTCACTTAATCCTCTGTAATTATGTGACCTCTCCAAATTGTAATCGATTATTACGTAACCCAAGTTTTCAGTTCTCAAATCCACGAATCATTTATAAGCTATAAGATTTTCACACCACTTATCTGTCAGTGAACTTCAGTCCACTATTTCACCACCCATTCTTAATGTGTTATTGACTGTAAAAACAAATGACCTTTGACCTTAAACTGCATATATATATATATATGTATATAGTCATTATTCATAACCTACGTCATTTCAATTATTCATATTCAGGTATGTCAACTGTTTCCCACATCACTGTTAAATCCTAATGCATATTTAGTTACAATGAATGCATACCACTGTTAGTCGACATTTCTCCTGGATTCATTTTAAATCGTAAGCGGAACTAATCACATGAAATTAAAATCTACTTAGCTACTGATACTATTTTGATGATAAACGTAATCCGACGAAGGTGAATATGATATGTGGGTGCCTAATCTGCAAGACTGCACGTGGATGTAGGGTTTCTTAATCATTCTTAACTATTACAGACAGTTACACATGAACATCATTGCTATTCATTCCCATGAAAGTAGGAATAAGATGAAAACTAAAATTATGAAAAAGTTTATTGAATAATCATTGCTGCTAAAGCAGAAAATCAAGTTTGCAAGTTGGTATTAAAAATTCTTAAGTAATAATTGTTCACTTTCTTCTCGACCTCGGTTGCGAAACGTTCACCATACTTCTCAATGATGCGATGCTTATGGATTCTTTGGCTTCGCTGAATACTTATATACACTTCACTCCGTCGTGGTAATGCAGTTAATGTATTATTTTGAAAGTTCTGGGTATTATGTAACTTCCATCTGCTACAATACCTAAGAAGTTGATGAGCTATGTAGTTAGTATTTCATAATTGATATAGCTTACCTGTAAGACTTCGTCTTTTAACGTAGGCAAGTAGCATGTGACGGCACGGATATCGACACATCATAAAAGTGCCACAATTGCATTGAAAAATGCTTACATCCACTTCATAATGTTTTCCGTGGTCAACCATAGACAACCAGTCGCCGCTTTCATATTCCATGTACACGAAACGCATTTGTTTAAGTTAGTATAACACTTTAGATCTTGCGAATGGGGTCAAAATGTTTAGCAAGGGTGTAAAACGCTGTGGAGCATTATATTTATAAGATCTTCCGGCTATTACTTGACCTTCGATACTTCTTCTAGTTGACGTCATTTCACTCCATTTTAAAGCCTTGTACATACATTTGTACAGACTACTACTTTTTCGTATATATCGTTTTATTTGCCTATTTAGCGTTTCAACACGATTATTCGTGTTGTTACCCAATGTTAAAGCATGACCGTAAAACGCACGCGCCCACATTGTCTTACGTGCCATCCAAAAACGTGACAGGTACTGACCTATCAATCTGTTCCGCCGATTTATTATTCTGTATTACTGATTAAATCTAGTGAATAAACACATTACTAAGATTACCGTTTCCGCAGTTACCAATCGAGTTAAGTACGTTTTCAGTATTTTGTCGTTTGTCTAAGGGCAATTTTATATAAGCAACCATTGGTGTACCTTTTTCCGGAAAGCGCGAATTACATGAAAGGTGCACAAAACTATGTTTGCATGTCCGTGTGTGATACAGACAGCCGCGCTTTCACATCGTGCACAATCCATCACAAATGTTTCAGTCAACATTGTGTTACCCATTATCTCTTTGAATGGATCTAAAATCCATATCACATCGGGACGCTTTTCCCTTCGTGTCCACGCAAACATTACAGTTCGTCCTCTACCCCAATTATCCGTCACCACTAACTGGAATAACGAATATCTACATAGTAAAATACAACGATAAACATATTCACTTTTTATTATCAGTATTATACGTAGAATCAATGCACACAACTTCTGGATATTTCCTGTACAGTTGTATTTGGTCATAACTACTAAAGCATATTCTCGTGGCATATCCATTTTCTAAATGTTCTCTCACTTCGCCCTTCTGTCTCAGCATATCCATGACCTGCTGCCGAGTAAAACAACCTGAAATATATTTATATACACTTACCAATGGAGAGTGCAGCTTTCATACCTTTGACATCGGAAGCAGTTACTTGCTTACCAGTTCTCTCCTTAATACTTTCGATAAATTCATCTGCTGACTCACAGTGAAGTATTACGGGCTTCAAGTTCTCTTTTTCTTCTGAAGATAATCTCCTTGTTCATGAATCACATACCATCCATGAACTACTACATGGATGATTGTGGAGCATGTTGTAGGGTTTGATGATATATCCTTGCTCCTCTAGTCTTACACGGAATTTAGATTGACAATTACGGAATTTAGACCTTAAACATAAGATATTAGTTAAAGATCTTACGATTTTTGCTTCACTTTCAAACCTTCCGATTTCCGTTTATGACCAAAGGTACAAATAAACGTTACAAACAGGTATTTAAACATGACATCCTTCAGCAATCTGCTTTCCGTGTGGATGTAACGAGTATAAGTAGTCTGAGGAGTGATAAAATTATAATTCCATACTTTTTGGAACTCTTTTAAGGCGCTTTCAAAATCATCCCACAATACGAAACGCTTGTTCAGTATCATACTTCGAAAGGCATCGGTAAGGTCGACTGAAATGTCACTTGAGCATGAAGCACTAAAAACAGGCATGACTAATTATTAAAAAGTTATTCTTTGCAACAATAATAACCCAAGGAAATACTACAAATACTTAGGATTTACCTGCGACTTGACATTTCGTTGAGGTTTACTACAGTTGTTGGGATCGAAGATCGAATTACAAAGCAGCAACAGAGCCAAAGTGTACACTACAAAACAGAGAATGCTAAATTAATGTTATTGGTATTTATTTCGCGCTTTTATATGCAGCATAAGATGACTTATATATGAAAAAACTTAATACTCATGCAATCCAACCAACCAACGGCAATTGAAAAACTGTTGGGGACGATAGAACCACAAACTCATATTTTAAATTTTATCGCATCGATCAACTTATTGATTAAATGTTTAAATATTTGTATTGGGGTCAATTGATGAACTGATCGATTAAATGTTTGAATAGCAGTCAATTGATGAACTATCGATTAAATGCGCAAATAGGTCAATTAATGAACTCATTGATTAATGTTTAAAAATGTTCTATGACAATATCGATTGTAAATAATTGTATAAATACGCTTGACTTGTAAGCTTGATCTGATCTGCCTGCCTGACTTGGTGTCTGCTGTTGCTTGTAGAATACACTTCTACGCCTTACCAAGACTTCTTGATCGAGTAAACTGAGTCGAAGACAACTGACCAGAATAGTCTATTGAGTATCTGAATCCTGAGCCTTCGTTCCGTTCCGAATAAGTCGAATCAGTAGTATCCTCAAGGTTAACGAACCTAACAATTTGGCGACGGTGGTTTGGGAAACATAGATCCTTCTAAACTTGAATTATTACTCGAGCAGCAGATGAAACTTATTCAGATGTTAGCAGATGCAAAGCTTACGTCTAATACTCAACCAAGCAGTTATAATCCTACTACTACTGCACCATCAGTTGATGGGATCGCTAACAGTATCTCCGAGTTTCATTACGATCCAGAATCCAATGTCACGTTTGATATGTGGTTTCGACGTTACGAAGACTTATTGAAATTCGACTTTGCTAATCAGGATGATGCTTGGAAGGTCCGCTTGCTGCTTCGAAAGTTGGGTCCTAATGAACTAGACAGGTATTGCAACCTAATTCTGTCTCTAAACCCACGCGATCGCCATTCTCGGACACTATCCAGTCATTGGGCCAACAATTCAGGGACAACTCCTCACTATTCAATGCGCGTTATCGATGTTTGAAGCTCACTATGAACGAAGACGATGATTTTCTCACACATGTGGGTATCGTTAACCGAGAATGTGAACGCTTCCGGTTGAAGTCGCTTACTGAAGACCAATTTAAAGCACTCATTCTCATCTGCAGCCTTCAATCGCAGAAGTTCAGTGACATTAGAACACGTTTGCTAAGTCGGTTGGACCAAGATCCAAAACTAACCCTTAATGATATTGCAAAAGAATATCAACGCCCAGTCAATTTACAGCGTGACACTACAATGGTCCAGCGTGGTGGTTCAGATCGTACCGAAGTCCATGTAGTCCATCAACCACGCAACTCGCATAAATCTGCATCAGCGACATCTAGTTCAGGTCAAAAGACAAAAACAAATCCTCCTGCCCCATGCTGGCACTGCGGTGCATGGCATTTTGTTCGATACTGTCTATATAAGCAAGGGACCTAACGTTTAAACCGTGCCGTTTCTCTTTTACTCTTTGGGACAGCCTCGATATTATTTCGATACCACGAGATTGCCAACAAATACATCTGGACCACAGCCATCAACTGCCTTCTGATATTTGGCTTACGGGGGATCTTATCTGTTAACTGTCAAGTAGTCTTCTTGTAGTGGTGATCATAGTCAACCGCGACTCGACGCCGCTCTACAAGGTCCTAGTACTCAGTCCTGGGTGAGCTTAATGGGACATCCTGTATCTTGAGAGAAAGTAAAGTTTACCCTGACATCAAAAAGTCGATTACTAGGTATAAAACAAGCCATTCAACGATAGTAACTTGATGCACGTTCGTTTGAGCTTATTGATAAGACATGTATGATTGACCCTACAAAATCCTTATGGGAAGTCAAAGTATACGACTTCTACTTTTCCTTTGAGATCAAAGGTGGTTGTCCACCTATCCACTGCAGTCAGTAAGTTGGTTATAAAAAGTGACCTTTTCTGAAATCGTGCTGTTGGGGTGGAAAAAAATAAATGGATAGTAAGAAGTCATGTAGACCTTCGCATATCAGGGACTCCATAATTTTTGATGGTAGCTTGAAAATTCGCTGTGTCGAGCTTTTTTGAAGTTTAGTGTTATGTGAACCAGCTTCCAACTTTCTGGTGCCCTGTCTCAGCTTAGCAAATGTGAGAGCATCACGGTAAGCGTCGTTGCCGATACTGAAAGTGCATTCCTCAGTATAGGAGAACGGACCATGTCCAGCCAAGGACAGGTGTCCCTGTTCAGATGCTGGAGTTTCCGACACACCAAGTCATGAAGTCTTCTGAGTTAAACCAGATTGTAGGAGTAATTAAGGAAAAATTGCTAAAAGGAATTAACGTGACTGATTTGAGAACCATGACGTTCAAAACCTTTTAGAGCAAGCGCGTAATGACCCATTTACGAACTCGTCTCACTCCGTTAGATGTTTTGGGTGTACTCCATAAACATGGAATGTTGTTAGAGTTTTGTTCAGAAAGTATTCTGTTTAACTTGGTAACAAGCTGAAGCCTTTAGAAGGTTTCTGGATGTAATTTGCACTGATTGCACGTACAACACCAATAAGGAAGTGTGAGAGACCTAGTCTATAAATATAATAAAGATTTTAGGCTAATTCACTGAAAATAGATTCTTCTCTGAATCGGTCATTCTTACTTTATGTCTCAATGGGTATGTTCCTTTTATTCTAAAATTTATAAATACAGCTGTAGATATTGATTGTCCCAGTTCGTTGAACGGATGATTGTGCATGTGGAGATCCTGTTATGTTTAGATAGACGAGAAAAGAATCGGCTGCTGATGTCAAATGAATTTTAGGTATTTTTACTAGCATTATGAAAAATACATCACATACGGCTAGCATTGTGGTGGATTGTGAATAAGAAGGAACAAAGGCTGTTAGCCTAACATATAGACAACTAGTGTCAACTAGTACTCTGCTCTTTATATGTTTGTCAAAGATTTCATAAGACGGTAAGTGTCATTTGACGTGTAGTCTAAGAGTTGTACATATCCACGAGAACACTTCATGAGAGTTTATCAGTGCTGATTGGTAAAAACTGTACATCCTTAACCGTCATGTAGGTATATCACATATTGTACTAGAAGTCAAACAGCTTATGACAAGATACTGTTAAACCGTAAAGAAATATGGTCGGTTGCATATAACACAAATAATTTAACATATGGCCATTCTACAGACAACGGAGTCAACTTTCCGCATCGTCAGCTGAAAAGACACCTGAAGAAGCAAGATCAATTACACATATTAATAATGAAGGTTTACCTATGGAATATTCTGACATCTAAAAGGAAAAAATGAAGAATCAATTGCAGCCTTCAAGATCTATCCGGCATACGTTTTTATCAGACTACAAGATAACTTTAGAAGTCTGACAAAGTTTGCCGCTAACAGAATCTGATGCAAATTTGAGAAGAATTATCGACATCCAGAGTACGAAACGAGGAACAGTATGCTTATTACTGATGGATCATCCTGTGGTGAAGTTGACCATACGTACTTGCAAGAGATTTCAAACTTGTTGCCACCAATATTGACACAAATTCCACATCGTTTTATACGTTAGACTTTCACAGTAGGAGCAACACATAGAAAGTGGAAACACAAAACAGCAGAACCGACTATAGGCACATACCCAGATGCTTAAGGGTAATCAAATGCTGTAATTCGCTACCAGATGAGCTAGTCCAAGCGAATTCCCAGGAGTCCTTAAAGAGGAAACCTTATATGTTCTTGGGGAATAAGGACAGTTTTTCATTATAATTTACCAATATTTTTTATCTTTAATTACATTTAGGTTCTTATGTAGCACCATGTGCGATCCACAGGTACTAAATACTTAAGCTTGTTAATTAAGTTTTTCTTCTATTTCATCCAAGAACATTTGAGCCATTACTTAGTATGGTACGGAAAGGCCCTGTCAAAGGTTCTTTACCGTACATACTACATGTAAATGAACTCCCAAGTATTATGATTCCACGGTGTCAATATATGTTGATGTTGTAAAAATCTGGAGAGAGAAAATATGAGTCGCAGATGCATGGTCATTTTAGGCAGACTTAAATATTGTGGTTATTTGATCAACGCGGCAAGTTGCGTCTACATGCACTTTGATGATACAAAGGTAAGTAGGTATAGCATATGGGAAGAGCTTATGCTCATGGCCCGCTTTCATAAGGATAATGAGATAGTAGTGAGTCAAGATCTCTGGCCGATGGGCCCCTTCCGCGAGATTGAAGCTAAAACGTTTAAAACCCTTCGAGCTTCAAAACGGATATTCACCAAAGTAAATAATTACATGTTCAGTACAGTATGCGCAACCTTAGTGGGAACAAAATGTGAGAACTGCATTCAGGCTGAGAGCTCTTGTTCAGGTGAATCGGATATCCTGGAAAAAGTAAAGAAGGCAGGTACTTGTTCAGTTACGAAACTATGGAATTTATCATGCAAAGAGCTGCTTGAAAAGCTAGACCTCTTTACTCTATACTACGGCAGATTAAGAGGTGATCTGTTTTGTGATATATTCAATGCTAGCAGACAATTTTGGACATTAAATATACCCTTTTTCTTCTAATCAGATCAAAAAATTTCAGAGGATATAGCAGGCGAGTCAAAAAGCCGAGAGCGAACAAAATACCAGAGGCATAGAGGTTTTGAAACCGAGTCATCAATTCTTGGAATCTGTTACCTGAAGTGGTGGTATCTGCATCTTAAAATGAAAAAACTCGAGAAAAAATAGACACTTGCAGAAGCATACTGGAATTGGAATAACATAGACCGTAGGCCTTCTCAACCCAAACTCGACGTGGACGGTCATTGGGACTTCATAGTGCACACGCTCTTACGTGCTACAAATCATTCAGTTCCTCAAACGGTTCCCAAAAGCTGCAAACCACCTACAATAATAAAGAACCGTACCCTTCGTCCGCTAAGCCGCAAAAGGCACTATTGGGCGGAATATAAACGAACTGACAACGACGGAGCGTACAGGCAATATAAATATATCAGGAACATATGCACGAAGGCTATAAGAGAAAATAGGCTTCAGTACCAGACAAAGCTTATGGACAAATTTGCCTCCAATCCTAAAAGCTTATTCCGTTATGCAGCCACTCTACGTCAAGCCAAAACTGGAGTTTCCCAACTGCTAGGTCTTAACGGCCCGACCAACAACGATGGCGACGCCGCTAACCTTCTGGCTGAACATTAATCCCAGACATTTCAACCGACCGACATTAACTTTACTGATGACAGTTTCGTTTACAATTCCACAGAACTTTCCGAAGTGAACCTAAGCGCTGACTTGGTGTTCCGTAAATTGCAGCACTTAAGATTAGACACTTCTCCTGGCCCGGACATGGTCCATTCCACCATACTGAGGGAAGCAGCCTCAATCTTGGCAACGCCGCTCAGCGTAATGTTCTCACACTCGATGAGTCGAGGAAAACTACCGGAAAATTGGAAGCTGACTCACATCACACCAATTTTCAAAGGAGATCAACGCAGCAAACCTTCGAGTTAGCGACCGGTTGCTCTTCTCTCCATACCCGCAAAAATCACGGAGTCCTTGATATGCGATGATATGAATGACTATCTACTGTCCTTAAATTTCTTCTCACCCCAACAGCATGATTTCAGGAAAGGTTACTCTTGTATTACCAACCTGCTGACTGCGTTGGACAGATGGACAAGCATCTTTGATCACAAGGGGGAGGTTGATATCATTTACCTAGATTTCTCAAAAGCTTTTGATAAGGCTAACCATACATGTCTTATCAATAAGCTCAAACGATTGGGTATCAGACCACCTCTAATCGAGTGACTCACTTCATACCTGAAAAATTGACATTTTAAGGTCAGGGTTAATTTCACTTTATCGCAGGCTATGGAATGTCCTAGTGGGGTCCCCCAGGGCTTGATACTAGGGCCTCTTCTCTTCTTGATCTACATAAATGATCCTCCTCAACAGATAACGTCAGACTTATTACTTTTTGCCGACGACGTGAAACTTTGGAGAGAGATACGCAACCAAGACGATATACAGGCACTTCAAGAGGATCTGATTCGACTTCAAATTTAGGCAAATGACAACGGACTTACCTTTAAACACTTCAAAGTGTAAAGTAGTCCATCTGTGACATGTCGCAGACTGCAGTTATAATTTAGGTAACTCCTCTCTAGTAGCATCCCAAGTCGAAAAAGATTTAGGAGTCCTGGTGCCCTACGATTTAAAGTCTTACGCTAACTGTGACAAAAATGCCTTCCGAGCAAACCTTGCACTGGTTACATTGAAGCGCATTTTTGGCCAGTTTAACGGAAGAACTTTCCATATAATCTTCAACAGTTTTACCCGTCCCCATTTAGAGTACGGAAACATAGTTTTTCCCCCCTCATTCCAAAGGATAAGGACACCCTGGAGCGTATCCAAAGGCGAGCCACGAAATCAGTTCGAGGACTCAAATTTAAACTTTACGAAGAGCGCCTCCATTCACTTAACCTTTACCCATTAGAGTATAGGCGTCTTATAGGTGATCTATTAATGGCTTATAGTATTCTTAACACGTCTGGACATCCTCTCAAACACCTACTTAAGCTTAGTTCCAACACTAACCTTAGAGGTAACACCCAAAAACTGGAGACACAACATAGCAGAACGGACTGTAGACACAACTTCCACTCCTTAAGAGTTGTCAAACGCTGGAATTTGCTGCCGAGCGAGCTAGTCCAAGCAACTTCCCAGGAATCATTTGAGAGGCAACTTGATCTCTTGTTAAGGACTAAGGATAGTATCACACTATGATTTACTAGTTTCTTTTCCTCTTTTATTGTTAACATACCCAGGTTCCTGCCTGGAGGATTTGGTGATCCCCTGCTACTAGACACGGAAGCCTGTTAAGCGAAAGCTTTTTCTACTCCGTCCACAACCATTTGAATCCTACTACTAAATTTAGTTGGCGGTATTTATGAAGATGGTGTTACTCAGGAGTTTATGTAAGGTTTTATATTTTAAACCATATAAAATCAAGATTTTCCTGTTTGGTGTCATACCGGCTCAGTTCAACACCTTCAAAAAACTTCGGCATCTTCCGTAGGCGTATTCAATTCAGGCGATTACATGCGTGAAGTAGTTAATTTGTTATGTTTCTTTAATAAACTACAGGGGTCAGAAATTCAAGAACAGGATGTGTTGTACAAAAAGCTAGTTATCACCGTTAAGGGTCATGAGCCAATGGTGCTAAAAAGTTACGAAACTTTTGTCAAACAAGTTTGTGATAATCTCTCTATAGCTCTTATAAGGTAATGTAGGATTTCTAAATAGAATTATTAGTAAGTGAGACTCGTAACCGACCGACGTTTTTTCGCTTGTCCATGAACAAATCGCCGTTTATTTACAAGAAACAGCAACGCCAGTATGAGTTTCGCACACACTACAAATACTTCACAGTAAGTGATTTTATATTGTTATGATGCCATTTAGGTTGATCACATAACAGGATGTACTGCTGACGTATTTCTGGAATATATCCAAAGAAATCTACCCGAGGGTGTAGCTATGGAAGTTGTAAAGGTAAGACAAACTCTGTCGAATGTCTACACTACTCACCGTCTCAAGCAGTTCAGCACAGCGCCTACTGCTGAGATTTATAATGTAGTACTGCGTTACATTTAAAAAACGTTTTCATATGAAACATTTTTGAGCGATAATTTTATGTCAAAATGAATTGTGAATGAACATAGGCCATCGAGCCTCCTGTCCTTCCCAAACTGAAACTGAATCTTACCTTTGGTACTATTCTAATAGTAATGTCTACCATTAGGGTAGTTTTTAGATATTTTGTTTCCAAAAAACTAATTAAAAATCAGCAGCATCTTTGTTGGAAGAGATCATGTTTTTATGCAAACAGTGCCATACCAAATTTAGAAGGGATGTTGTCGAGCAACAGTTATTAAATTTAGGTAAAACCTGAGGCATTCTATGAATTCATAAAAACCTGTTAAGTTTGTTTGAACTGCTCTAGTTAGCCCTACATAAATTTTCCACAGTTCACTCTTGCTTTTCCAGTAGTTTCTAACAAAGTGCCAGTTTAGATAATTAAAGTTTATTTGATTTATGTAAATGAATCCATAGTATCCTGATAATTGTTATGACGAAAATCATAATCATGAATGTGTTACAGACAGAGAAATTCCCGGCATCATCTTAATGCATAAGGTTTATAATGTATGCAAATTACTAAAACAAGGCTTTTGTGACAAACCACAAGCAACTTTTCTGACATGTTTTTGTATGTTAATCGCCTAAACAATGTGAAAAGCTTTTTAAAATACTTGCTTTCCCGGAAATATTGTAAGTAAAGTGAATAAGAAACAGTATTCTAAGCCTCGATTGTGCATGAATATTTCAAGTCAAATTCGCTCTAATATTTAAGGATATATGTTGACTTCAGCATTTTCTTCCATAGAAGTTTTTAGCAATAACGAAAATGCAGATGTGTCCGTATTTCGCCTCCCGTCATGTTTGGGAGTCTAGTCTAAGGACAGTTTTCTTGGTGCCAGTTTATTTATGCTTCCTCTAGACATGAGGATAAACAATGTCAGTGGAGCCTGTAGTTGTGTAATTGTATGCAATTCATCTCCCATCTTTATCGTACTGTATTTCCTCCATGCATTTGTTTTACTTTTTTGATAGATTTCACACATGAGTGAAGTGTGATTAAAAATAGATGAAAATCAATATTCATTAAGCTATAATTGATACTACTTAAGATCAGTTGTAATGACCCAGATGCATTCACTCTTGTGGCAATGCATAAGTATCTTTCTATTCGTTTTAGTAAATGTGAATCAAAAACAGCTCCATAGGTTGTATATTTTTCTCATGCAACCGACTCACAGTTATTCATTTAGTGATTTTATAATTGTTTCAACAAACACCAATAGTAAACTTCTTTTCTGGTTTATAATTTTAGCATCGTTTGGAACGCCTTCCCGAGCATTTATAAGCCGCTGACAATCCTCAAATGTATTTGAATTATAGAATATATGTAAATACTTTGCACAGTTGTGTTGACTTCTGTCAGTGTGGTAACTTTTGCCAGAAATAAAATGTGACCTTATATTCACATACTCCATACCAAGTTACCAAGCTCTAATAACGTTAACATTTGACTCAGACTTAATTCATGACAATGAAATTCACATTTAAGACTATTGGATGTTGTAAGTAGTATAATGCTGACTTTCTCAACACCTCCCGCTAGCATCTAGTAGTCTATAAATCGGACTGGGTCCCAAACACAAGCCATGTTTTTGGAAGTCGAAATATGCCGTAAGTTGTTGTTGAGCACTCATTTATTATAGTATAAATGGGGTACTCCGTTGGTTCAACTCACAACCAGTTATAACTGGTTTGCTTGAGCCAATCGCAGTATTATGTTTTTAAGAAACTTGTTGAGTATCTGAAATGTTTAGAACTTTTTCCTAAAGACTTGTCTTTTGGCGCTGTACTAGTATATAGGTAGTGTATAAAGGCATATTGAACTATGCGATTGCTCAAATCAAATAAAGATGTAATTAGCAGCGGACCAAACACAACTTCAAGGAGTAAAATGAACTAGTGAAGTCAATCCAGGTTAAGGTGTTCACTACTTCAGGCTCTCTTGTAGTCTGTTTTGGTTAATCAAATCATCCTTTAAATCCTAGCAAAGACTACGAAGTGTGACAACAAACGAAACACTTTCCTTAATCGCGAAGTTTGTTCGGAATATTGGACGAAAATACTTTGGGGTTGAACATCGAATTTGCAACCGTACCATTGCTTTTTCTAATATCCTAAAGTTCGTTTAATTTATTAGATTCTGTTAGTGTTTTGAAGATACCAAGGGATCTTTAGTTGAAACTACTTAACGAATCTAAGTTGGATAGTAAAAAACAAGATTTGAACATGAATGCAGAAAAGGTGAACTAACGATCCATTGCTGATCAGAATAATCTCGAAATGTCTTCGGATTTATTGACTTAAAATATATCCAGCTAAAATGAACCTATCATTCTGTTAAGAACATAAAATAATTTAGATGTCCCAGGATAAACAATAGTATTAAGTTTTATATCCAAAGATGGGTAATTGTTAACAGTAGAATGCAGTTTGATGGGCGTTTCGTCCTATTTGAGTGAGACTGGTCAGCTGGATGTACCTGCATCTTAGAGTTGATGACCACTCTGTGACTCGGACTCAACTGAACTTAATTATTAAGTTTTTCCTGAATTCTACAAAAGTTCTTTTAGGTCTAATATTTTAACTGTGATTTGTACACTATGAATTTACTAGGACAGACAATTCAATTTATTTGTAAAAGCATTTTATTTCAAACAAACATTCTGTATTTAGAAGATAACTATTTATAATACCGAAGATCTCTGTAAATGGATACAATTCATTGCATAAAACAACTCATTTACAAGTTGAATAAACGAATGGATTGAGAAACGCACACACATACACACACACACGTACTTGTATGTGCTCATTAGAAACGTTGGTTTCCATTTAAAATTGAGTGAGGAAACCGAGAAAAAAAAACACAAGAACAACAACAATTTTCTCAACACACATGAATCGAAATCAAGAATAAATAAAAGTAGAAATTATTACTGGAAAAAAATTGCAACCAAAATTAGCGAGAGAAAGTAGAAATGAATAAAAGGGGAAACGGTAATTGTAGATATATATATATGTATATAGGAAGCAATTACTTATAGTATATACGATGAGTAGTAGATGCTATTGAATTTCGATTACTGTCATTGGTGTTTTTCATCAATATCACATCATAAAAATGTTGCATAATACTAGTCTGTTCATTTCATCACAATCTATGCAGAACTAGAAACAGCTAATTTTTTTAAATGTTCCATAAAACCTTGAAGTGATACATCGTCTGTTAGTACTGCACTACCGGAATCCTAAAATTACAATTTTATAATAAGGATACAATTATGAATGAATTGTAGAAACAGTAGTAAACAGATTGATTATAGCAAAATGCAATATAACAAAAATACAATTTTAGCCTATTGATATACTGTCTTCAGTACAAGGGGTTGGGAAGATTGCCGATTTCCCTAGTTTTATATCATACACTGTGACCTGAGTTAAATAATCATTGAGAACTGAGGAGTACTGGGCAACTGTTACGTCCTCAAAAGTTTGTACTTACGACCTCATCAGGAGTCGAATGTAGAACCTCTAGATGTCAGCTTTGAGATTCCGCTGGTTTATATAAGCTTAGGTCGATTCACATTATTCCCCGACCATTATTTATTTATTTTAACACATAGATATTGGTACAAGGAGGCACCAAATACATATGCGCCACACAAATCTCATTCGATATGTGTGAGGGCTGTGATACTGCCCGAGTGCCCAAACCGAAGCAGGTGGTTTTCTTAGGGGGACAATCCCCTTCGACCTGAAGGTCTGATCCGCAAGGCAGTGGAGCAACGTAGGGAGATGCAGTCTCATGGTAGCTGGTGACCAACGACTGGTTCATACGCCATTTGTTCCTTCAGGATACTGGAGCCCATGTGCACCATTGGTTTGGAATGAGGGTTTCCCAACTCCCCTAGGTGAACTCTCCATATCCACGAACCCGGTTAAAGCGCCGGACGTTCGATTTTCGTTCTCTCAATTTCGTAAATAACACCCATGGTATGAGTAGGACTTCGCTGGCAGAGGCTATATACGCGTGGCCATATGAGAGCATTTCGAGAGGGAGAGCGAACTCTCCCTACTCTCGGCCGTACCACAGCAAATACTAAAACGTAAGTTTTCATTTTAGCGATTCACCTTTCGTTCCTAGTATATGCTTCTGTTTCGGAAATGATTTATTCCCTTCCTGAATCATGTGCCACAAATTTTTCTAGCTCATCAAAAAGTGTATTTTCAGTGATTAATTGTCAAGGAGTATTCATAGACTTACTATGAACTATTTTACATTCATTCCTTAGTCAAGTTAATACAAATTAAACACTTTTATTCCTGTTTTATAGAAGAAGGATTGTTAACTTTGTTGACACAAAGACAATATGGAAGTATAAGTTATTATACAATCTACTTTACATATACCTATAGATGGTCTTTCATGAATCTGTCTAAAATCATTAGAAATGAAATCATTGGAAAACATGGAATAATATATTTCATATCATATGCCCAACCACCGACTGCCTCGACGTGCGATGTTTTCTGGTGTAGGAGCAGATTGGAAGAAAGCTAGGGGAAGTCAGACCAAAACATTACACAAGTCCATGAAGTCACTGACAAGTGGACTGAGCCATGTTAGTAGGTGTAGACTATCTGGTTGGGGACCGCGTGATGATAGCAACTGACGGTTAGAGACCTTGAATGACATGGCGCAAAATCGTTCACAATGGCGCATGTACATCTAATCTTTATGTTCTCCCAAATTCCGAAATCTTAATGTCTCTTGTTTTCTCTTCAAATTTATTTCACTGAATTCTACTTCTTGAATAACATCTTCAAGCCCTAATCTTTTCGATTACTGCTTACACATATGGATTTAAAATTGACAACTGTATCTCTGTGCTAATGTGGTGTGGCAACTCGAACTGATGTACGTACGTACGAAGTTCTACGTTGTTACTGACTGACTGATATCAATGACAAAGTCTGACTTTCCATATAGAAAAACCCCGTTTATTCCATGACAGCTTCTTTACACTCCTACATGAGATATCATGATTTAGTGTAATAGGGATTATGACTAACAAACATAATTCATGTTTAACTTACCGACTAAAAGTGATAATGTGAGTAAAAAAAAATCTTACAAATACAAAGTGCACGTAAACAAATGATGGAGACGGAAACAAAAGGGAGTTAGACCCTACGTTTTATTATTATTATTAAGACGATTATTCTAGAGTGCAAAAGGAATAAAATTCAAGGGTGCAAGCACACAAAATATTTGATAAATGTCACAAAACATTGAAATGACTAGAAAAAAAGAAGTGTGGGAACTGATAGATCTTCTATAAAATTACAGATCAGAACCAATCGCACTATGTCGTTCGATTACACTGCGAAACACTCATGAACAATAAATGTTGATATCGGAAGGACATTGTTGAGTGTCACATATGATATATAAATAAATTACCACAGATTCTCAACCAGCAATGAAGGTTGATTAACCTTTCAATGCTGACTAGAGCAATTGATGGTGTAAATATTATCTTGAGGAATACTACATAATTTAACGTATAAATTTTGGACAATAGGTCGAGGGGTTTGTGGGCTATTTACCGGGGGTGGGGGGGGGGGAGGGGCCTGGGGGTCCTAGGAGGGGTGCTACTAAAATGCTTGTAGGTGAGGAGGGGGGGGGGGGGTTGGAGGGGCGGGGGGGGGGGGGAACGTGGGGGTGCGGTGGGAGGTCTGGGTCGAGAGGGGGGGGGGGGGGGGGGGGGAGTAGGGTAAAAGGTGGATAGCTGTATGAGGTTTGGGGAAATGGTGAGGGGGGGGTTGGGATTGATGATGTAAGGTGCTTAGGGAAAGGGGTGAGGATGGGGGGGGGGTAGGGATTGGAGGTTTTTTTTGGGGGGTGTGATTTGGTGGTGTGGGGAATTTTGGGGTTGGAGGATGGGGGGGAATTGGATATGTGTGTAGGGGGGGGGGGGGGGGGATAGTTTGGGGGGGGGGGGGGGGGGGGTTTAGAGGGATTGAGGGGGTAAGGAGGGGGAATAATGATGGTGTAGATTATTTGGATATAATGTGTTGAAAGGATAATTGTTTGTGGGGTGTTAGTGGGGTTGGGGGGGGGGGGGGGGGGGTTGTGGGTGTTTGGGTTTGTGGGGGGGGTGGTGGTGGGGTTTTTTGGTGGGGTGGTGGTGGTGTGTTTTGGTGAGGTTGTAAAGGATGGATTGGGAGTGGGTGTTAGGGGATATATAGAGTGGTTAGAATAAGGGGATAGAGTGATAGGATAGTGTTGTGATAGGTGGTGTGGAAGTTAGTGTTGGTTTAGGAGGACAAGTGTGGTGGT